TCTTTGACAGATAGATGCTTTTTTCTCTCCGTGTCTGCTATGGTCCCCCGTTCAGATAGTTCAGAGGCTTCCATCCTCGTTCTTGTCATGGTGTTAGGGCGCGCCCCTGCGTGGCGGCCCCAACTGTGCGCTACTATATATTCCGGTCCCAGGCATGACAAGACGCTAGTCTTGTCATATTCGGTCTTTTGCCCGACCTGTACGGTTCTCTCTATGCCTGGGTATAGGGTTCTCACACATGGTTTCAGAACCTACAAAAGGTGAGTCATACTAGGGGCTATCATGCAAGACATGGCCAAGGCTGATTGCAAGGTTATCGCTAGTTGAAGAGGACGGTGTTTGATCCCAGTGCACATGTACTTAAGTAGTTCAATGACGCGTATCTAGGTACTATAAGAGTAAATTACCTACTGCAAGCCATGGCATATATGATAGACCAATCAATTGTTATATTAGATGGGTGCCTACCATTCATTACTGATTTGTGTGTAAGAGTCATTCTATTCTTTGGATCAAACCTTGTGAGCAGACTTGATTTCTAGCAGCTCCTTCGATTCCTAGGATGTGTGCGTAAACGGCACCTGGGGAGTGATTTGGCTGCTGCTTAGAGTTTGCCCTTTATCCGCATCCAAGAGCTCGTTCTCTCCGTCTTCCAGCCTAAGACCCAACAATACCTTCTTTACCAGAGAGTGCGCTTCTCCAGAGTACAGAGCCATGAGTATTGAAAGGTTACCTTGCACCCACAGGCCTACCCAAAGACGCCACTAGCTATGTTCAAGGACTGGCAGTGAATTCAGAGTAGGACAACAAGTACTCATCATCCTTGATAACATTCACTATGGTTAGTTCGGCCAGAAGTGTACAGCTTCCTGGGAGCTCACCCAGCTACGGCGGACTCCATAGTGATTTTTCCTCTACCCTTCAGTTGATAGATACTGATAAAGCCATTCTTACAGTTGTTGTATACATCTGTTTGCTAGAAGATGATTATCTATTTGTCAATGGAAGCGTAGCTGCTCCCATAAAGCCTTAGCTATCCCTCCTAGTCCTACCTCCCCGGCCATTACCGGCACCTTCCACTCTGGGGCTTCATTGCGCCTGCCTCATTTAAATCCAAGATAGCTGTGAAAGTAAACATCGTAGGCCCCAAGATGTTCTTTTCTTTTCTCCTTGCCCTTCCCCTTATATCTGTTACATGTTATATGGTTTATAATATGTCGTTCTTTACCTTCATGTTTACGGCGTTGAAACGCATTGATTATAGTCGAGTACTCGACAACCTTGCCGATGTCGCGACTATTGCGGAATATGTTGAGAATCGGAGAGAACGTGCCCAACGTGGGCCGCCCGACCGACTATCCGTTAAAAAGCCGTGGAGCGGTCCTAGCCCTGAAGAGTTCATGCTTCTGGGTTAGTACGAGTTCATAGAGGGTGGGCAATTCCTCGGTGTGCTTGCGATCAAGGCGGTTGTGGGAGCCATAGGGGCCCACAGTCCGGCGGACATCGCCGCTCACTCGTGAAGGCGGTTGTGGGAGCCATAGGGGCCTACTTCTCGGCGGATCGAGTTCATTTAAGGCCGTTGCGTTCATTGTCCAGCGCCTCTTATTTTGTTCTTACGTTCGTTTTTGCTTTGTGACCTGGGCAGCCACCTACACTCGCTTGCCCTTTGCTTTCACACTCGCTTGCCCTTTGCTTTCACACTCGTTTGCCCTTTGCTGTCCCACCCCAGTCACTCATTTGCTTCCTTTGCTTTTTTGTACCCCCAAAACCCCAAAAACATCAGAAAACTAACAAAAAGCACAAAAAAAGTTGAAAATTTCTGGGTCCAAAGGAGGGAGGTTGGGTTGGGCCTGGGGACAAGACAGAACTCATTCAAGCTGAGTACTTCCAATGCTTGGTTCGAATCACGACATTGCTAACCACAGTCATTGGTATATTCTCCGTATTCACAGTGAGAACCAATTTTACAATACCATGATCGAAGCTTTGGGTGTACAACCGATCTCCAGTGATCGCTTCATCCGCTAGAGTTGTCGGCCAAATCCGGCTCTGCCATGTACAGCATGGACACTCAGTCATTCAAATGGTAAGTGGCTTCAATCACTGCCAACCATCTACCTCTTTGGAGATCCCCCTCTTATGGTTATGATATCTGACCTTTGACCAGGGGCTCTTACCCGCATCTCATGCAACCAAGCGCCGTCTGTCGCATCTCAAACAGCAATGTCGACCCCAGCCCGGAGCTACACTGACTCATAACCTTGTGCCGCGACGAAGCCCCACCGACAATCCGCACCCGAGTCGCATCTACAATGGACCGCTCTCGAGTTCAACCCACAAGATATCTCACTTCCAAGGCGAGATCATTCCGAGACCCAAGATGGACCTACACGAGGGTCACCAATACCACGAACTCCGGCGACACATCGCTATGCATAACGGGTACTTTTACCATCAATTTCACTCGATGGTGTCAAAAAGACGTCAAATTCCTCCAACTCAACGACATTTTACGACCAACCCAAACGCTAGCACCTAATATCGGCGCATGTGTGTTATCCGAACGGAGAGATTGAAAGTCATCAACATTCCCATCTCAGAGACCGCTCTGAATGACGAATGGTTGAAGTATTCGCGATCTATATTGGGTCACTGGGAGGTCAGAAGACTGCTGTCAGGTCTGCTTGGTCAGCTGACCCAGTCAAGGGATGACAGGTCTTAGTTTGATGGAGTAGATAGAAGCTTCTTTTTCTCTCTCTCTCCTTCTTTTCCCAGTGCTTTTTTGATGAGAGAATACCACTATTCGTATCATCATTCTGATTCCTCATAGACGTATTCTCTATCAGATCCACCTGACAAACTACAACCTGCAGAACGTCTGACATCAATGTTCATACTTCCCGACTCCGTTCTGGGAAGTTAGCTCATACTCCTCCGACTACATTCTGGGAAGTTAGCTCACGATGATCCGCATAGACCTAGTCATAGCTAGTTAGCTGATCATAATAGCATCATTCTTGCAGTAGAAGAAGAGGGGATCCCCCCGACCCTTCTTCCTTCTGCAAGAATCAGTCTGTTGAATACAACTTGTGTATCCCAATATCTCTTTCGTCCAAACTTATAGTTCTTGACTTCTATACACTATTGAGCGACTTTCGAATCACACTCGAATCAATAGGGGATCCCTTCTGAATCTCCTGCTGGGTAGACAGGTCGTACGACTGACCCTGTGCACTCGTTACACTTACCAACATCTCTTTCCCTGAAGGCAAAGAATACATGGAGTGGGAATAATTTCCTTGATCGCAACCACACCGAGGAATTGCCCGCCCTCTATGAGCTCATACTAACCCAGAAGCATGCACTCTTCTGGGCTAATGTCGCCCCACGACCTTTTAACCGATGGTTGGTCGGGCAGCCCACGTTGGGCGCGTTCAATCCGATCCTCAACACGATCCGTGATGACCGTGCGTTTCCCTTTTTGTTGGCTAAGACATTACTTACTTGTTATAGGTTATTGCCGTCTATAATGAGAGAATTCCGAGGGTGTCTGGAAACGGATTACCACCGTCTACCGGGCAATCGAATACATAATTTCTGAAACTTTTCCCAGAACAATCATGTGACTGTTAGCGCTTGAGTACAAACAAGTGCCCCGAAGATATCTACCTTCCTGTTTACAGCATTGAAATACATTAATTATGGTCGAGTCCTCGGCGACCTTGCAGATGTCACGGTCATCACGGATCCTGTTGAGGATCGGATTGAACGCGCCCAACGTGGGCTGCCCGACCAACCATCGGTTAAAAGGTCGTGGGGCGACATTAGCCCAGAAGAGTGCATGCTTCTGGGTTAGTATGAGCTCATAGAGGGCGGGCAATTCCTCGGTGTGGTTGCGATCAAGGCGGCTGTGGGAGCCATAGGGGGTTTAAAGGCCTCGGAATGTGGGAGTGGGTCGCCAAAATCAACCCGACGCGACGCGTTACGGGTAGACAGCGCAGGAACTACGCGAAAATCTTTGCCTGTATTCAACATCCATGAGAGCTTTCCTATGTCAGTGACCCTGCTGTGCCAATTGAGCCATACAGAAGCAGAATTGAAAGAATCATTTGCTAGGAGTGTAAAATTTGGGTTACATCGAACTGCAACTTCTCGTATTCTATTCGGAGTAAGTCCGACGCGGTCGATTTTCTGCGGCCGTTTGACGGAAATTTCATATTTATCACCGTGCGACTATTAATTTGAATAAATATATATCTCTTTCATGTCGATTCAACTTTACTTCTAAAGTTAGAAATCCGCAACTTCCAAAGTTGCTACACAATTGGTGTTCGTTGGGGAACCTCCCTGCTGTCAGAGATTAATCACGGGTTGCTTCTGAAGTTCTCAATATACACCACGATCAGGTATCCAATTGCACTGTTTTCGAGGGATTTTGTCTTACTTAGTTTCCTTGCTTTCATTTCGAGACCCCGGGATTCTCACTGACAACTTGCCTCGCAAAGATACTGGTTGGCTGTCACCCTATCTTTCTCCAATCGATGCTTCATCTGTTGTAATCTCGCAAAGAGCTCTCGCATCGTCGGGATGTACCGCGATCACCGGTCACATGGGCGGGGAGACACGCCTATCAAGCAGGGCATCATCATTTCCAATCACCGCAGTGACAACCGCACTCCATCAATTTCCCCAACAGTCCCAAGGAAATAAGCAGTGATGTGATTCGTGCCCGCATTATCCATCGCGGTCCACTCCCAGGTCTCCCGTTACCAAGAATGCATACTCTTCGACATGATAAGGCCGTTACCCTTTTCGGTAGTCCTTAGACTCTCCGGGGACTGTGCGCACCCAGAGCCGAAGGGCAAGTGAGATTCCATAATGCCTGCGGGAAGGTTATAAAACGACAATCCCTCAATTCAATAATTCTCTTCATAATTGGACTTGAGTCATCAATGTCCTTGAATACACTGACATATTAGATTTTGGCTTCTATTCACACCATGGCAATTGATTCGGATAGTGTGGGGGTATCCCACATTGAAAATGGAGTCGATCAGGTGGCTAACAAGGACCCTGCCCCCACTGGCCCTGGCGATGTCATGTCGCTTGATAATGTTGATCAGGCATTGAGTGCAAAGATGCATTATGTGAACAATGTGAGCTTGCATTACGGTACGATCGAAACAACAAGGGTATTCTGACTTACTGTTGTACTTAAGTAGGCCATTGACACGATCGGCTTCACACATTACCACACCAAATTGTTCTTCCTCAATGGATTCGGGTAAGATGAGCACTTCAAAGTTATGGATCCAAATGGACAGCATACAAACTAATGCACCATTGCGGACCATAGATACGGTGTCGACTCCCTTCTGCTTTTCTTAATGAGCATTTCAGCGGAACAAGTGGTAGGCCAATACCCACCAAGATTCACACGAGGAGCCCAGCTAGGGTTCTACCTGGCACTTCTAGTCGGCGCCTTGTTTTGGGGTAGTACAGCAGATGTGATCGGCCGGAAATGGGCATTCAACTTCTCATTGCTGATCAGTGCTGTATTCTCAATCGTGGCTGGCGCTGCTCCTAACTACCCTGTCTGGGCGTCTTTCGTGGCACTCTCAGCCTTCGGGTCTGGTGGAAACTTGGTCTTGGATACTACTGTTTTCCTGGAATATCTCCCTTCGAACAAGCAATGGCTTCTTACTCTTCTTGCTGGGTGGTGGGGAGTTGGGCAGACCACAGCTGGTCTGGTAGCTTGGGGCTTTATGGGTAAGGATTCATTCTTTGATTGCATATGGGAGCTGACGAGTCGACAGCTAATTACAGTTGCCCTACTGACGGCTCTGTTCCATGCACCAATGACAACAACATGGGATGGAGATATTTATTCTATACTTGCGGTGCACTAGTTTTTGTTTTGAGTGTGGCCCGAGTCCTAGTCATTCGGTTCCATGAGACTCCAAAATTTCTTCTCTGTCAAGGAAAAGATGAAGATGTCATCAGAACACTTCGCAATCTCGCCGACCGGTACGATCGGCCTTGCCATTTGACATTAGATCAACTTCAAGCGTGCGGTCAGATCCAAAGCGCGCACGCAAACAACAAAGCGTCCTTATCCGAGGTCATAGTCCACATCAAGGGTCTGTTCGTAACCCGAACGATGGCACTCTCTACATCCCTGGTGTGGCTTTCATGGGCTATGATTGGTCTTGGCTATGCATTGTACTATGTCTACCTACCCGAATACCTTGCATCCCGAGATGCATCTACAGGGGATTCATCGAGCTATATCACCTGGAGAAACTATGCGATCACGAACCTGTGTGCTGTCCCAGGCCCGATAATTGCGAGCTACATGTGCGAGATGCGTCTATTCGGTAGAAAGGGAACCATGGCATTTGGAGCATTCTCCACCAGTAAGTCTTTCACCAAGAGCAGAGATCGAAAACTAACACTCTACAGTGGCATTTTTCTTCGGTTATACCTCCGTCCGCACAATTGCCGAGAACTTGGGTTTCTCCTGTGCGATCTCAGTCACCATAAATATTTACTATGCCACCTTATACGCTTATACCGTTGAGATTTTACCTTCTGCTCATCGCGGAACTGGTAATGGCGTTGCCGTTGCGCTAAATAGATTGATGGGAATGGTTTCAGCGCTCATTGGCGCCTTCACCTCTACTTCCAGCTCGGTTCCCATCTATGTTTGTGCGGGCTTGTTAGGTATGTGTGGAATTCTTGCCGTTCTGTTCCCGTTGGAATCTCGTGGAAGACGGAGTATTTAAGCTTCTAAGTTTGCATCTACATTTTTGTCGGTGTATATTCGGTGTCTATCACCAGGCCATCTACTTACTGAAGTAGTTTTTCGCTGAACTCAATAACTTGCAATACATAGAAGAGTTTCTAAGTTCTTCTGTACCCAAAGCTTAAAGAATGCTTCCTTGATATTCAGAAATATCATCAGACGTCCACGAGTTTATCCTCCAGTTTCCCGAGCGCTCGATTCCGTATGGTATCAAATATCCTACTTGAATACGATGGCGGAAAAGAGAAGTGGACATCCCAAGTAGCCACGAAAATTGCATCCATGGATATGTTACAAATTGCCTATCTCCCAAATTCCCATATACGGACTTTGATGATCCTGAAACTGAAAGAACGGGTCATGTGTCAAGTCCATTAAAGATCCATCCCCACGAAGACCAGGACCAGGCCACATCATATTGTCAGCAAGAGGCGGATATTGCTCCAACATGCCATCACCGGGGACAGAGCGTGGTCCATCCCATGAAGTTTGGACCTTTTCATTCTTCGACGGCGATCGTCCATCAGCAGCGCTGGAGTATGGCGGCAATGCTTGACCACCATCTGATGTGTCGACTGCCCTGGTTGAGTGGTGGAAGATTTCTGTTTCGACAGTTTCTTTCTCGTCCATCTTTTCCTCTGGTGTTTGGAAGAATGATGGGTCAAAGATGCCCTCCCCTACTGGGGTGGGTGGCTTTTGTGGAGATCTGTGCAGAAGTATATCCCACATCAGGGAGGTATTTATCGACAGTGTTCGACGAGGCATATTGGCATCGCTAGATGAAGGGCTAGGAGCGAATGCCGACCGAACGATTTCTTGAAGCTTGCGGTGCTGTTGAAAGTTGTCAGTATTGGTAACGTTTATCAATAATCATTACTCACAATTGCATGACATCTTGGCCATTTTGTCGCAAGTTGACCAAGGAACTCCAAGCAAACATCAACTTTACTCTGCGCAGACTCTCTGATAGTCGGGTCCGCCGCGCGACAATAGTAAAGTTGAATAGTTGCTGCTATGGCGACCAGATGACCAAGGAAGGGGTCAGATACCTGATAGTCTTTCTCCTGTATCAAGTCAATGAGTCTCACAGTCCAGGTGGTATGGATGAGAGCCAATTCCGACGATGTTTTCCAAAACGTGTTCGGAACTGCAACTTGTGAGGATTGTTGCGGTCTCCATGAATATAAAAATGGATGATTCAAAACGCTGTGGATGGCGTGGTATGTAAACTGGAGATAAACCCAAGGACTCCAGTACCCGCGATTCTGATGAAGATCATGCGTTGAGTGATCCATGAATCTCACCGAGTCCCATCGATGATACGTGGGGAACTTCGTCTCGATAGTCATGAGCTGCGCTCCTATGACGGAGTATCCTGATTCCAGAGACCAAGGCGGTGTTGGGTCTTTACTTGCACAATTGGAAACATAGTGCTGGACCTCGCTCCACAGTGTAGAAAGCTGAACCATATATATCCAGATCCCCTCAATCTGAGTAGGACCCGCAATTTCTTGCGGGATTTGCGGTGGTATTATTCCCATCTCTCGCATGTTATCTGTGTTCAAACCCATGTACTTGGGTGACTGGATGTCTCGCAGCATGTTCAACTGCATACTTCGCGGCCCATACTGCTGATTGAGTAGATGAATACTCCAGAAAACTCGCCGTCGAGTCTCTAATGCGGGTGTGAATTCGCCTTTCTGGGATTCCACGTCAAGTCCACCACACCTAGACAGACTGGTAACAAGCCCAATGTGCAACCAAGCCATCTGGGTGTCATTGGCTCAAGAGACAATCAGTTCATATCATACTCGAAGAGTCGGACACACTCACAGATAAAGTTCGCCAGCGCTAACAGACAAAGACTTTGTATTGTGGCGAGTTGGACATTCCCCTGCGCTATACGGAGCATGACAAGCCCACGGGCGGATTCTGCATATTCCAGACACAGTTTGTCGATCCGACCGGCAAAGAAGGGGTTCTCTGAGTACCTCAGGGCCAATGCAAGTATTCCAAATATCACCTCCTGTGAGAATTGCTCTGGTTTCAGCAAATCCTCCTCGTCAAAAAGCCAAAGGGGCTGCTTGTGGCAGTATCGGAGATAAAAACCGACTGACTCGACCACTACCTCTTGCGGTGGAAGTGTGAATGGTATCACATTCAGGCCATGCTCGGATATATCATCCGTCACCTCCATATGCGGGGAATTATCTTGAAGAGCAGCAGGCTGTGATGAGTTTTCGGCACTGACTGGTCCGCACGAAATTGACGTTGGAGTCACAGACTGTTGAGTCGGACTATCCCAATTAGCACTTCGCTCCGTGCCGAGTAGTATCTTCCTTACACAGACTTCTCCATCATCAGTTCCAGTTTGGCTTCCAGCTGTTGCAATCGGTCCTCCTAAGCCCTGGTTAGATCTTTGCCCTCGCTTGATCAAACTGAAATCCACACCAAGACTCGATTCTCAGCAGGCCTCTCCTGCGAGTCGTGATTCCTGCTGTACAGGCATGTCTGACTGAGACGAGTACAGGTGGAGCAAGCGGGGCGCTCGCCTGGACATCGTGTCTTCTTTCGTCTAGCTATCTTGTCAGTGTAGGGTCTTTAGTCTGTCGCCATTGGATGCTTACCGACAATTCTCACATGCTTGATGTAATCGTTTGCTCACGCGCGAATTCGCCAGCGACATCGCAGCTGATGATAATGGTGAAGAGGAGTAAGGGACGATTTCCGAGTGACCATCAACACTCTCCAGGGCTGCAGAGCCTAGTTAGTCAGCTCGCTGTCAAGCGTGGGAGGATCATCAAGTCGTGCGGAGTAAGAGAACCCCACTCGTGTCGCGGGAATATGGCTGTCAGATACAATGTATTTGGGTATTGATACCTGAAATAGAATGATTCTTTGCTGGTAAATGGCTAAAATACTGGTATTTCCATTACACATATGTGAGGCCTGAGGCCTCCACTCAACAAGATGGCTGAACCTCACAGTCTACATCTTCCATTTGGCTTCATCTCTTCATCTCTTCTTGCTCCTCCCTTCCGCTTTGCGACTACTTATCCGATGGTCAGATTGGCACGTTCTCACCCTACAAAGAACCGAGATCGTGACTTGACAGTACATGGTACTCTATCATGCCTTTGAATTCAGGCATCAGTTCCCGATTTGGACCGGACTACTGGAGCACTGGCTGCTATTTGACCTAAACACCCTTTAGAGGCCATTCGGACACATCCTCTCCGACGCATCTTCATGTATCTAGCCGAATTCTTGGTTGAGAACGGGGTATATCAAAGGGCTAGACGTGCGGAGAATATATGCCACGAACTTTGGGATCCACAGGCACGTAAAATTGCGGAATCGATCCCACGCCAAACCGATAACTTCTCGTATCTTCGTTCAATCCTGAAGTCTAACCTGGGTCATGGTCCACGGGCGTTTACTCATTAGTTGTTCAGATCTCGGCAATGATTCGGCAACATAAATCCATTTCTAGGATCGATATTCGCAACTTGAAAATTAAACTACCACTCCAAATTACTAGCCCCATCTCCACAAGAAAGTCCTGAACAAAATTCAATATCCTCCGCCGTCGCCGAGCCAGCAGAACTTTGGCGGGCAGGCCAGATTTCCCCTTTCTCGCGTTTTTCTTCCTCCCGATGCGTCGTGATTAGACGCCTGACAGTATTCTGGAAGAATAAGGGGGCGCTCTCAAGATCGGGATGGAGTTGCCCGTTGACGAATACACCAGAGTTGAGGTTCTTCTGTGCTGCATTGCAAAGGTGCTTGTCTTCATCCAGGACCCGTTTGAAAAATGAATCAATATACTCGAAGTCCTCATCTGACGCTTCCTTGTGTCGGTATACTTCGTACTCCATCGAGCAAGTCCCTGCGGAGGTTGGAACACATCGCATCATATAGAAGAAGTGGGGTCTGGTGAAATGAGGATTAGTTCTTGTCACACAGACGGGGTTCAAATGGTAAACTTACGAGACGGTCATGCACGCATTTGGGAAATAATACGTGCTTGCGTTCTCAATATCGTCCTCCACCTTGTCTGCCTTCGGCCGGGAGTAGTGCTGAATATGCCCAGGCTTCGAGATGGTGTAGTAATATGAAAGATCGGCCAAGTTTGCCACATCGGGATGCGCAACGGTGCAATGGTAGCATTCGTTGTAGTTATCTGCCAAAGTCTTCCAATTGTAGTTGCCAGTCATGTGCCATGTGTGGTCGAACTTGTACTGGCTGAAATCGAATTTCTGGAATCTCTCTTGTGTGTCCACTCCCTTGAAATCTTCCTCCCAGGGAACGGGGGTTGGCGATGAATCAAGATTGACCCAAATGAATCCGAGTTCATCAACATGAATATGCACCGGGAACAAACTTTGCTCGCTCTTGTTGAAACCCGGGACATCGTCGAACTTTGGCGCCTTCGCTAAATTTCCATTGAGTCCGTATGACCAACCGTGGTATTTGCACGACAGAATCTTGGCATTTCCGTCATCTTGGGACACCAGGGGGAATGCGCGATGGCGGCAGATATTGTGGAAGCCGTTCAGCTTCCCTTCCCGGTCCAGACATAAGAAAAATGAGAACCCAGCCTCTTCAAAGCGATGATAATCTCCTGGTTTATCGAAACGCAGCTTGTGGGTAATCAAGATCCATTTCTTTGAGAAGATGGCCCGTCGCTCTAGCTCATACATCTCTGGTGATCGATACCAGGATGCGGGCAGAGCTTTTGAAGGGCCATCAGGGGTCTTCGGAGCGACTATGCTGGGCTTGTAGCCGAATAGAGATGATATCGTGGAAGTCATTTTCAAGAGCCGTTCACTTGATGTTTCTGTTCCAATGTGGAACATCCAACCGGTCCCAGCCTGTGTATTTGACGACCATTGTGAAGGTGGCAGCCGGTCACGCGACTGTGAATGACGGAGGAATGAGCGACAGAGTTCCCGCGGACGAACCCGACGGTGAAACGGACGATACTTACTTTGGTGTCTCCAACTTCGTCCTGTCCTTCTCGGTAATTTCCCCGGTCATGTGGACGGGGAATCTCCGAGCCAATCATCCAAGGTCTTATAGTCTAGTGGTTAGGACAGCGGTTTTTGAAATTACCCTGTTGGGCCATCAAAAATATTTACCGTTAGCCCCGGTTCGAACCCGGGTAAGACCTTTTCATTTTTTTTTTTTTTTTCATTTTTCCTTCCTACTTGTCTTTTTGGCCCTTTTTTGGAGTAGAATATGGAACATTTTCCTCTTAAAGTTGCCTGCCGCGGGAAATAGCCAAACTGTCCCCATCCCGCAACGTGAAATCCCTCTGCATTTCGCCCACCTACTCTAGTATCGAATCAAAGTTTCATGTCAGTATTTACTTCTCAATTATTTTTAATCCACACCAGTTTACCTAAAAAAGGTTTTACCACAATCTTCATGCGGAGCTGGGCAATGCCGCTTCCTACTTTCTGCCTCTGGGACAGATGTTGCAATTTTTGAAGGAACGCCAGATTGCAATTTGCCGGAAACTGGGTGGCTCAAAACAGCGTTCGTTGGCATTTGTTACGGTCCAATTCATCTCCGACACGCCGTTAACCATACTTGTTCGGCTTTTGAGATAACGTGGAGAGGTTCCTTCACAACATCAAACTATCTCCAGGGCTTCCACTCTCGATTTGTCATTACCTACCCCTCAGAAAAACCCTGATAGTATCTTTCATTATCTGTTGGTGACTTGTCCTTTATGCAATGCTGAATCTGCATTACGCCATTGTGCAGTCGAGGTGAGATGCAGTCCATTTTTCAGCGGGGCTGATTTGACACTCTGCCTTCGTAAAAGTGCTTCCTACCCAGAGGTTTAGCAATATATGCGCTTCTTTTTGACTGAGATATGTTGACGAACTGGCATGGGTGAATATTTTCCAAGCCCTGGAGGTTGTTCGCAACTTCCAACAGGCCCGAACGTTCCTTCTTGCATACAAAGTGCGGTTATGGCGGATGGATGGATTCTGTGGCTGCTGCAGTACGCTGTGCTTACTTGTATCTTTTACTCGTTTTATATCACTAGAGTCAATGAGGACACGATCTGCTGGATTTGCATATCTTTAGCTGTGATAATCGATCCAGCCCAACCAAGTTTCACCCAATCACCGTCTGGTGGAATGATGCGGAGGTGATGCATAGTTGACCCCACCTCTCAGCCAGCCACTGCATGCGGGATCGAACTTCAAAATTTGAAATAATGGGCATGTACGAGTACGATCGAAAGCCCCATGGCTGGTTAGGTGTAAAAGGTACTGCAACTGGAAATCTTGAATCGATGGATCTACACGAGGGCGAGGGGATCAATAGGGATGATTTCAGGTAATATCATTTTTCTACGATAGTTCTATATCCTGAGATGGTGGATATTTCGTGTGTACTCGTACGAGTAGCTAGTCAATATGCGGGAGATCGATCGATGGCTCTTGCGTGCATGGTCTTCAGACTCTTCACGTCCATGGACCAATAGGAGATCGAGATTTTCTGCGAGGATGACGGCGGCCGATCTGAAAGTCGAATTGATTTACATTCAATCGTGGCAATCCATTTAGCGATGTGACACATACTCGGTCTGATTTCGTGGGTTGTTGATGACGTACCTTGTCAATCGATTATAAAAATGTCACCCCTCTGGTGTGACCGTCGGCGAGATCAAACTTCATCCAATCTCAAATTCGAGTTTTTGTTACCTGAACAGCTCTGAATCCATTTGAACCCCAATTTTCATCATGATTTGGCAAGGTGAGTTGCAACTTGCAAGGATCAATGTCAATGTCTAGAACTTCATCTAACCCAAAAGACAGACTATATTACGAAAGAGTAAAGCATTCTAGTCGTGATTTTAACAATCAGACAACACCAATTTCTGATTCATACATTTTTCTAGTCTCCTCGGTTCAGGCAAGTCAGAGAAGGCTGCCATTATTGGTGTATCAGATGGCAGTACTTGGGCTAGCTCGCCCGATTTTGTATGAGAACCCGCCAAAGACATTCCCCAGCAGATGTTCAGTGATAATGACTTCAAAAGCTCAAAGCTGGTGAAGGGCAAGGTCTGGTCGATTTGTTTAAAACCCCTGAAAATGCTTTTGCATCCGGTCCTATGGTGGCGGGCGTCCGTTATGAGACGATCAAGGCCGACTCGGACGAAATTTATGGCAAAAAGGTAGCCATACTGTCATGTCTTTTACTTCCATTAAAAGCAATGCTGACTAGCAACCTGGAATTAGGGCGAAACCGGTATTGTAGCGCTCCGAACAAACACAACGATTATCATCACATATCAGAACGAGTCACAGCAGCTTGGAGAGGGTGCGCGGAACGCTCATGTGTTAGCTGAAAAGTTGAAAGAGAACGGCGATTAATCTTGACTGGGACCGGGGTTTTCAAACGCTTCTCCAAGAGTACTCTTCCAAGCTTGTTGGATAAGGATACAAGGTATATTGCGCCCAGGGGCCAATGCTTAATTCGGTGCCTGAGCATGCCTGTGGATTCCTGGTTTCGGATTAGGAGAATATCAAGATCCCTGAAAGATTATGAGTTACACAAGCCATAGTAATCGAAGTACTATCTTTTCTCTATCTCAAATTCCACGTTGCTGTCCGAACTTTTGAATCTCCCACCCAAAGATAGGAGACATTGTTAGGTAGACTGGTTGCTATCTGGAGTGTTCAATCGCTCGCTGTCCACTTGTTGCCAGAGCGAGCGTGCAACTTCGCAAATTCAATGACTCAGTCATTTTGGCTGCGTTCTTGGTAGCAGAAGGTGCAAAGAAATTGGATGACCACATTTGCAAGCATCTCGATGGGTTTCAACACGATTTCCATCCCCTTCTCGATGACCTTCGAGAACAGCTGCCGGCTAATATTCTTCCCGAATATCCAATTCCAGTCAATTTTATCCCAAGAATGACATCTGGGAAGGTTGACAAACATACTCTTGCAACCATCCTCGAAGAAGTTCGCCTCGAGCGACATCAAATTCGAGATGGTGGCATAAGCGAGGAAATCGGGAGCTCTCAGAGAGCTACAAGGCAATGAGTGATCTTTGGGCGAAGGCGCTAGATATTCCCCTCTCCTCCATCTCTGCGAGCAATCCATTCTTACACCTGGGTGGCAACTCAATCAAAGCTATGATGCTTGTCTCAGACGCCCGCGTTAGTGATATACCAATCACAGTGAAATGGCTACTGCAGAATTGCATCATTGATGAACTGAATCAGAGTCGTGAGGGCGAGCCGGCAACTGAAAATGAAGTGAGACTGAGGTCTGAATTGCAACATCCCTCGCCGCAAGCTTACACACCTACATGGACCCAGATGGTCTCCGTGACAACGGTTGCTGGTTTCCAAGAAGTAACCTATTTTCATGCTGTCGTTGACTTCAGGGGGGCCTTGGATATAGTTCGTCTCCAAGAGGCTTGTCGATCACTGGTGCAGAAGAATGAGATCTTGCGCACTCGACACTCGATTCAGTCTTCGAAGTGGTGTTGAGACTAATCGGCAGGAAAGAAAGGAACGGAGGGAACCGACTGAATTCACTGCTCAGAGAGAGAGACGAAGAAGAAGAAGAGAGAGAGAGAGAGAGAGTCGGGAGAGGATCTATCTACACATGGGGGTTGGGACGAACTCCCCACACAACAAATGGTACCATAGAAGCCACAATCTCGGAAGATTTAGAGGTACCATTTCTACAATTGGCCCCAACAGCTCGATATTACCTTTGATCTCCCCCCTGTTTGGCAGACACAACCCGAGACAGAACCGAACACATTGGAGTGGAATTATCTGGGCATGAAGAAACATTATGGATGTTTTCGAGCCACGAATGTATATATTTTCGCGACAACTTCGCGGGATGGCTTTGCAGATGTCCAGTTCGAATTCAATCAGTCGCGTATCACGCCAGATTTCGGGTGGGATGTTGTTTGATAATCTCTGTGAAAACATCAAGACTGTCTTGGAAAGTCCAGAGCAGAAGATACCCAGGGACCTGTAAGTGAAGTTATCGTGTGGCGGGATCAGGTGAACCCTGCTCTCTAGAGTCAGCCCTACTTGCCTCTCTCTGTCTTTTCCTCCTGCACTACACTTATCCAATACATTCTACGAGTATTCCATGTTTTGTCTCTCCTTCTTGCTCCTGAAGTCGCGTCGCAACTTCCACGATCAGATCGAACTAAATGACCGACAACGACGCGAACAAACACTTGTACTCGAACCTTTCGATCATCGACCCGGGCCGCATCGGGTAACCATGCGCATCACAATGACATGAAATGATAACATGGAAGTTCCACATGGGGGCTGGGGCCCACAAGTGTCAAAAGGAATCGGAAGAAAAACAAAGAATGTTCGACGCCGAGAATGCAGCCAAGATCGGCGATGTTTCGAATCCGGTCGATCCCTTGCGGCCAAGAATCATGACTAAAGCACCGCATTAGGGAACCTATGACATCCGCCAGGAATCGCTTTTGTGCTGATTGTCACATTGCGATAGTCGGGACTTTTTCGCCCCACTCAATTTTTCCTTTTTCTTCGCCAATCAGTTGAATCTAGTTGCCTGATCACCAGCCCTGTGTCTCAAACCTGTGCGATCGCGGGCTGTATGGAGGATCCGTACTCCGTACTCGTACGCAGGAACCCGACCGCGCGTTTTTTGTTTTGCATAATGCATGAACTGAATAGGGTGTGGCTGGGATATACGAGTACACATACGAGTATGTACATGTCGGGAATCGATATGCAGAATACGCGATCGCGGGCCTCAATACGTGATCCCTTCAACGTGTCTGTTGGCCGGAAAAGGAGCACAATGTCGTCGTACAAACGTCAAGCCCTCTTGCATGCCGGAATGACAGCTATCTCTGCCCTATAGCGAATAGCCATGTGAGGATCGGGTCGCACAGATCATTATTGGATCCCATCTGGGGAGCTCGATTGCTCTGGAGAAAGAATGCTGGGGCGTTCCTGTCACATTTTTGAAACCGGCGATCATCTCCACTATTGGAGACAATTCGTCACACAATTGCCTGTACCTGCATGTGATGGATCCTTCCAGACACAATCCCCAGGGTATGCAACGCACATCTTCCCACCTGGAAGGCTGTGCGACACAAAGTTGGATAAATCCGGTGCCCTTGCGGGTGCCTGGAGCGGCCCAGGATTGAGCCACTGGTGCTTGCGCGGCCCCTGAGACCGAGATGCAATGCGATTGGACACTTCGGATGCTAAGCATTCTGCTAGTGGTTTAGCGGGTGTTAACCGACCATTCAGGACTGGATTAATGGGTCTGGAACGTCATCCACAATTGGTCATAGGCTGCGAGTCACCCATGGTTGTTGCTCCTGATCGACCCAATCATTATCTTCAATTCTCAAGTGTCGCCACGGCTTGCGTGCTTTCGTTCTCGTCGTTCCAAAACAGGCGATCTATTCTTAGTCGGGGCTGGACGGGTATTAACTTCTGACAGGGATTTCTGGAACGTATATATAGGCCAGAGATTCGCCTCCTGGACCCTGGATCCATCCATTAATAACTGTACCTTTGAACTCAATACATCTTCGTTGATACATTTCACCTTTTTACTCCCAATCATTCAGAAAATTATCCACAATGCCTGCTTCATTGGCCTCTAGCGAGCGTTCCGGCTCAGTCAAATCGCACCATAGCCCGAAGACCTCGCTGCAAAGCAAGGCCGACCCTAACATGGCCCTCTACGAGCAAGAGCCCAGTAAGTTCGCATCCACCATAATGCCAAGCCTCGAAGATATCTCCTCTAACACATGCCAGCAACTGTGAACCTGGAGCCTGGAGCTCGTGACACTTTCTCCCTCCGAAGCATTCAGCACAAGGACCGCGAAGGAAAGACCATTGGTATGTACATCGTCGCTTCGTGCACTCATGAGCCTCTTCTAACATATACCAGCCGACCCTGATCTTTCCAACCCCACACGAAGCCGTTTCGAGCGACCACTGGACACGATTCGCTCGTTCGATGCCGCAATCGACGCGCATCACAAACAACAGCGAATGCGTTAAAGGAACTACGGACACATAATAATACTACGAAGGAACGTCTCTTTTTACGCGGATTCAATTCAAGGACAGGAGTTATCATGTACATCTATTTATCGGGCTTTGAAGTCAGCTGCAAATGTCAAATCAATTTATGTCATCTCTGAAGAAATCGTCCCCAGGCATCCGCTCAACGAGCAGATACATGAACGGCACACCGGTAGTGAGAGCGAAATATCCCTGTGCAGAGCGCCAGCTCGGCAGTTGGTGGGATCCTAGAATGGGTCGTTGATTTCTACCCCGCTGTCTCCAGCCCCGACAACCCTTCAACCCGGACTGGACCATTACATAGTCACGACCAGTCGTCTAGCCCCCACCGTATGTCTGGATCCCAAATGTGGAGTACCGCAATCGTAGGTCGATCCGAAGTAAGGCTATCAAATACTGTGATTTTGATGATCGCTCATGTCGAGGACATTCACTCTGCCAGTGGGTTTGTACACAAGTCGCCAGTATTGAGCACAGCTGTTTGTCAATTCCCCAGCTTAGTGATGTCTCACTGACCCCGGTCGGGATTCGGGATATACCAACCGGATCAACACGTCAATTGGGACAGTCCTAAAGATCAAAAACTATTGCAGATACACAGGAGTGAATACGAGACGACCTGCGATTGTCCCCTGTAGGCTCTGCTCAGATGAATACCTGGAGAACCTAGCATCGTTCTAGGCAAAGTGCCCCACGGCGTTGAATTGCTTTCCCACCAAACGTAGGATCGTCCTTGGGCTAATATTAGCTTCGAGGTTATCTCCCAGGATTCCTATCAGAGCGAAGGACTAGAGAATCAAGCATTCACCAGGTTCCACCCATGAAAAACTAGGAACCAAAATGGAAATGATAAATACTCTTCCGCTTGGTGGATCGGATTTAGACCGCGGAGAGAAATCATCTCCGAGTTCATTGGCGAGTCATGTTCTATCTGGCGGTGATTTCACGATTTATTGGAACTAAACCACGCCACGACAGAGCTTTAGCCATTCTTTGCCTAGTGCTAATCTGTATTTATCTTTTTCTACTCGAAAGAGAATCTTGGAAATTTCCAACGCACCAAAAAGGACACGCACTGCCGGCGCCCTAAGAAAAACGCCCCACTTCACCGCGTCAGCAAGTGAACTTTTTCTATTTTTTTCCTCACTTCAAAGCACAATGTAGATGAGCTCAAATTCACATCCAGCCGATCTCGTTTCCTTGGTGCCTAATTGAAAAACCAGAAAAGTGAAATTGTCTCACATGAAGCTTTGCGGATGGGTTGGCAAACACCTAAATTTCATCGAACAGCAACACGAGGCCCGTTGGCGAGACTAATCGGATTTAGTGTGCAGAAGCCAAGCTGCATTAAGTGCGTGGGACCAGCTTAGTACTGTCTCTGATTCGCTCGGGCTCCATGACCCGATCCTTTTTTTATCGAAGCCCTAAGTTGTTGACGCGGTCAAATCATCTCCGGTATGGCAAAATTGACATCCGGGCGCCAGTAGCCCAAACTTATTCTGCGACGGCTTCGAAGCGAGTACTCGAGGGTGGATGCTAGCTGGATCAGCTATACGCGTCCACTTTGATTTCAGGGGATGCGAGCAAATCGGGTTGGCTGGGTGGTTGGCCGAGACTATTAATGGTAGCTGGACATGAAGCCACCAAGGATCCATCTTGATTTTGTCCTCATAATTCACTCGTTATAATTTCTGGATCTCTTATTTCGTCTCTCTTTCATTCTCGTGCTTTCTGCTCGTCAAATTACCCAACTATATACACTCGCTATACATTGGTCTCTTGGAAGGCCTGTAAAACATCACCATGAAGTTCTCATTGGTGGCACTGGCAACCCTTGTTGGGGCTGCTGTTGCCGACCTGGACCCCATCGTTATCAAGGTACTGTCTCCATACCCGAGGGAAGATGGGGTAGTCTGTACTAATCCATTCACAATAGGGATCCAAGTTCTTCTACTCCAGCAATGATACCCAATTGTAAGTTGATCACTTATTAGTAGTCTGCGAAAGCCGAAGCACACTTGCTGACTTCATTTAACAGTTACATGCGTGGTGTCGCCTATCAGCGTACGTTGCCTATGCCGACCACCAAGCAGGTCGACTAACACCTCACAGAAACCGCCGATGGTGATGACTACACTGATCCTTTGGCCGATGCCACTGCCTGTGCTCGTGATGTTCCTATCATGAAGGAGCTGCGCACTAACGTCATCCGAACCTACGCCATCAACGCCTCTGCTGACCACTCCGCCTGCATGAAGCTCCTATCTGAAGCTGGAATCTACCTGATCTCCGATCTTTCTGACCCCTCGCAATCGATTGACAGAAGTGACCCATCCTGGGAGACCACTCTGTACACTCGTTACACTAGCGTTATCGACGAACTCTCTCAGTACAACAACACTATTGGTTTCTTTGCAGGGAACGAGGTTTCCAACACCGTTGCCACTTCCGACGCCAGTGCCTTCGTCAAGGCTGCTGTCCGTGACATGAAGAAGTACATCAAGCAGAAGGGATACCGCAGCATGGGTGTCGGATATGCTACTGCTGACGTTTCAGCTATTCGTGAGAATATGGCCGACTACTTCAACTGCGAGGAAGAGGACGAGACCATCGACTTCTGGGGATACAACATCTACTCGTGGTGTGGTACCTCCACCTACGCTGATTCCGGATACAAAGATCGCACCGAAGAGTTCAGCAACTACTCTGTCCCCGTCTTCTTCGCTGAATACGGTTGCAACGACGTTACTCCTCGCAAGTTCACTGAGGTCAAAGCTTTGTACGGAGACACCATGGCTGAGGTCTGGTCCGGCGGTATTGTTTACATGTACTTCCAGGAGACCAATAACTATGGTAAGTCATGTTCTTCTCTTACCCCCAAATCACCCGCTCATGCAATTTCACAGGTCTGGTCTCTGTGGTCGACAGCACCAGTGTCAGCACCATGGCCGACTTCAAGTACTACTCCAGCGAAATCGCCAGTGCCAACCCTACCGGTACGAACAAGGCATCATACACTCCTACCAACACCGCACTGAGAAGCTGTCCCACCGTCGGCACCAAGTGGTCTGCCAAGGCCTCTCCCCTCCCCCCTAGCGCCGACGTGAACCTCTGTGAATGCATGTACGATGCCGCAGGCTGTGTTGTCTCCGACTCCCTGTCCACCAGCAAATACGCCAAGCTCTTCAGCACTGTCTGCGGATACACCGACTGCAGTGGTCTTACTGCCAACGCCACTACCGGTGAGTATGGTTCTTACGGCATGTGCTCCACCAAGCAGCAGCTTGCCTTCGCCTTGAATAAATACTACGTTGAGCAGGACCGCGCTGCCACAGCTTGCAACTTTGCCAGCTCTGCAACTACCAAGGCCACCACTGCTGCTACCGGTACCTGCTCTGCTCAGATGAAGGAGGCTGGCACTGCCGGAACTGGTACCGTTACCACTGAGGCCACTGCTACTGCTGACACGAGCTCTGGCTCCTCTACTTCCACTTCTTCCAGTGGTGCGGCTTCCAGCATTCACTCCAGTGCGTCTTTCGGATCGCTCCAGGTCGCAGTCTACGTGGGTACTGCGCTGCTGGCTGGCGTTGGTATGATCGCGCTGTAATCATCTTCGATACTATTACAGATTGTTGTTCGATTTGGTCCTTTGCCTCGTCCTCTTTTTGGTGATTCATTCTCCACCTCTTCTTTTTCAATTCTATATACAGACCTTTTTCATTGTTGTCCGATCTCAAGTGCGCATCTCTATTGTAGTTCTATATCCCCTGGGCATGGTCCGCCAAAATCATCCATGGATACATTGCTCAACTTCACTTCATGATGCGTGGAATATATTTCATTCCATATGAACGTGTACAAAACGTTGGAAACTAGCAACTCTGGAACTAACAAGATTTCAGCTTGCAACTATCGCTCTCTTGGTTAAGATAGCAGAGTTCCCGTCTAGCCTTTCCCAGCTATGTGCATCACGACATGCTTGTCGACTCAGTTGAACTGCGCGTCGCGTGCGCTCACGCATTTCATGTTCGTATTTCCCAAGGGCAACGGATGTCGTCACTGCATGATTGAATACTTGATCGATGGCCTCAGTCAGACAAAACGCATCCAGTATTCCGTGATTAGCCGCCTCTCCGCGATCTAACAAAGTTAGCAAGGACTGTCTGAAATATTTTAAAGCCACTTACACATTGTCATGGCATGTGCGGCATCACCAGCAAGCGTCACTCGCCCGTCATGGTTATTCCAATCGAGACATTCCCAATCAGCGAGATTGATTTCTGTCACTGGGGTTCCAGCAGGAATTTGATCTACTGCATGCTGCAAGAAAGGCGCAAAACCGACGGCTCGTTGTTTCATATTCGCCAATCGACCTTCATTCGTAGGTGCGACCTTGTCGTTTGCACTTTTTTCAGGCCAGGACATACATATCTGCGCCCGATATCTCTCATCTCTGGTGTTTGCCGTTCCATTCACAAGTGGTGTTTCAAGCATGGAGAACCAGAAGAATACCCCTGTGCGCGGGTGGCATCCTTGAAATAATAGTGGATCCATGTCTCGAAGTGGCTGGATCTCTTCTGGGGTAAGATCCACTGCGACTCCAGTGAAGTTGATGCCCAGTGGCACATTGTCGAAGGAGTCAGGTCGAAGAATCTGTCGCACCATGGACCGACTACCCTCGATTCCTACCACAAGTCTTCCAGAAACAGTGCTTGCGTTCTGGAAAAGAAGATGAACGCGATCTTCGTTTTCCGGTAGATTTAACCCCGTCACACGATGTCCCCAATGCACATGCTCCTCGATTCCACAAAGCAACGCACGACGCATCTTTTCGCGATTCACGCGCCACCGGCGATTCGGCGGAATCTTGTACTTTGGCTCCCCAGTCTCGAGATTGATGAATAAAAAATTCCCGTTGTCGTGTCGCGCCACGTCCGGATCAACTTGGACGTCTTGGATACGCGACAATGTGGCTTCTGGTAACATTTTGAACATGTACTCCAGTGCCCAGTGGAGGGTAATCGCCCACCCCTGTCCACGGGATTCAGGGGTTGCATCGCGCTCGAATATTTTGAAAGGGATGTTCTTTTGCTTCAATGCTTGACCCAGTGTCAAACCGACAATGCCAGCGCCGACGATAAGTACAGGCTCCATGGTGTATATTGATGAAGCATCATGTCGCCCACGCTTCTCTTTTTAATGTTATTATCAACTGGTGAGCCCCTCTAACCTGCCAATAACTTTCCCACTCGTATCCGGCCGTCGCATAGATAAAGTGCGGGGTTCGTCTATAGTTCCGGGTTGTATCCGACCGTCGGCAAATTGATCGCGACGGCGAATCGCTTCATCCGGTTACATCATTATAACCTTCAAATAAACGCGATTCTCACTCTTTGTATCCTGTAACGATCATTGTGTATTTCGAGATGTCCCACGAAGCTCTGAACCCAATCCATCCCTCGGTCCTACCCGAATTGGACCCCGTGTTTGTTCAATTGTACAACGAACACGTCGCAAACACCCCCGCGGGACCAATTGATCTCGCCCTCTTGCGCACCAAGTATTCTGTACTCTACTCATATGGCACCGGGCCAGCACCAGACTGTGCTCGGGTCTATGATGCAGAAGTACCGGGTCACAATGGGGACATGATCCCTGTCCGCGTATACGAGCCAGCTTCCCCAGGCCCATGGCCAGTGCACATCGATTTTCATGGTGGAGGTATGACACTTTCTCTGAAATTGAAACTGGGAACAAATTAGTCTGACTGCTGGAATAGGATGGGGCCTTGGTGACCTTGACACGGAATCCCACATCTGCAAACACATTTGCGTCAAAGCAGACGTCTGCGTGATAGACGTGGATTACCGTCTTGTGCCAGAGCATGCATTCCCAATTGGCATTCAGGACTCGTTTGCCGCGCTGCAGCATATCCACGCTAAGGGCGCCCAGCAATTCAAGATCGACCCAACACGAATTTCACTTGGAGGCGTTTCAGCCGGAGGAAACATCGCATTGGTATGCGCGCATCTGGCCAGAGATGCCAATATTCCCCTCAAGCTGGTAGCTGTCGGTACACCCACCGTGGACGATATTTCCAAATACAAAACAGCATCCGAAGCGCCTTGGCCATCAATGCAAGCCATGGAACATGCGCCGACTCTCAATTGGGCGCGTTTGAAATGGTTTGATAATCTCAAATGGCAAAGTATTGCACCGGCTGGTCCAGAGCGGGAATCTCAAATTGCTGCTGTCAGTTGGTATGCGAATATTCTCGATGCCCCTAATTTTGAGGGTTTGCCGACAACGCTCATTTATACTGCTGGGTGTGACCCGCTGCGCGATGAGGGTGAGGCTTATGCCCAGAAATTGATTGCGAATGGAAATGAAGTGATTCAGAAACGGTTTGCTGGGGTTCCTCATCCGTTCATGCATATGGACAAAGGTGTGTTGTTCCGTCCTTGGCTGGTGATTGGAAAAAAGTTGACCTTTTTTACCCCACAGATTTGTGGCAAGCAAAGCAGTTTATTGATCTGACTGCGGATCATATTCGAGTCAAGCTGCGGGCATAGTATGGTTTTGGTTAGGTATTCGCCACGCATGAAAGGATCGTCAATTGCTCAATCGTAGAAAAATGACTGAAATATATTAAGCTGTACCCAACCCACTCCAAACAATTTCTAGCAATTGAGAATTGCAATTAATTCCAACAGAGTAATTATTGAAAATAGGCATAGGAAAATAGCCAGTTCGTACGATGGGAATAGAAATGAGAGAGATGACAGGAGACATTCGCCAGTTCGTGAGAACTATGTCGAAGAAAGTTGCTCTGGATAAGGGGCATAGGGCCGTTCCAAGGCCATTGTGGTGCTTTGATACCTCGTCACAACTTTAGAATCTACTCCGTATTTTCCAAGGTTGTACATAGTCACATCTCTGCTTTTCTTCAACAGACATCTTGGGTTTCAAGCAATGTTCAATTGAACTTCTGCACAAATTATTTCCTCGTCATCACTGTTTCCACTAAGCTTCCATCTCGTCAGGGTGTTTCCATCTGCGAATCTGCCGTCAACCTCCAGGGCATAATTGAAGGTCCATTCACTAGACTTCTGCACGGGACATTCAATGCCCGACCCACAAACAGCTTCATTCACAACTGGGACCCATGAACCCTGCTGCGCTTCGATACCAAAGGTGACCTGGTCGACTTCTTGACTGCTTGTTCCAGTCATAATGATATCCACGGATGTTCCCTTAGTCAAAGTACAGGGCTCTTCATCGCATGGTGTGATGTTGATGGACGTCAACTGAGTTGCTCCTCCTATGGCGATATAAGGTCAGTACGTATTGATTTCCTTGTACAGAAAATTCATGGCTACATACGACAAGAAGTGTACGATTTATCCGTGAGCTGAATGGCTTGCGACAGACTAGGAATGGCGGCTGCAAGGAGTGCAAGTGTGGCTCTCATCTTAAAGGTGGGATGAAGGGTTGAAGGGTTGAACTGTGATGAACAGGGCTGGGATCAATCGTGGTATTTATTAGCCAACAGAGGTCCCGAGGTTCCACTCTTTTCGATGAACTCCCACATGTCTCATAATTTTAGAGCCACATCTAGATGATCATCATACGAGTTCCAGATCTACCAGTAGCCCACGCAGATCTCTCTGATTACGGATTACGGAGTAAGTGCAAGGCCCGACGTCACTGGCGAGATGACTTCAAAGCCACAAGAAAAAGAGCTGTGATTGGCTATCGAGTGATCTCCGCAATTCTCTGTGTCGATCGTAATTTCCTGTGTCGATGATCGACATTGTTGCAAGGATCTACTCACATTTCCCGATTAGGTTCACTAGTGTCCTACTTTAGCCAAGGAGGTGATCATGGACAATGCAACTTTTCACCACTCCTGTCGAATACCTAAGTAGAGATGATATATTCAGAAACCGGTGCGAAGCTAGTGTATCTACCTCTGTGACTTCCCTGACTTGAATAAGTACCATTGAAGAATGCTTTGCCGAACTAAAAGTGTTTATTAACTGAGATGAGACTTGGTAAGTTCGAACTATACCGGAGAATGGGGGGTTTTTAGGACCGTGATCGCACAGTAATCCAACAGTTTTTGACCAAAAAACTGTCGAAACAAGTATTGTAGCTAATAGACTCGAAGTCTAAAGCCAACAGTTACACAGCTGTACTAGAATGAAAACGGTTGTCATGTCAAAACGGTCTCAAAACGGTCGTCACGTCAAAATGGTTGTTATGTCAAAACGATCTCAAAACGGTTATTATATCAAAACGGTTGTCATATTTAAATATTAATAAAAAAAATATAGTTTATATAATATTGTAATTATGTAATTACTAATATATTATATATATTATACTATCGAATGTATTATAATTTATACTATATGAATTCTACATTGACCAGATTCGAACCTACAACCTTGCTTTTACAATCGTCATACTTACCACTACACTACGTCTCCACTTTTATTTGGACCCACCTGAATTCTATATGATATCATCATTATGTTCAAATATATATTTACTATCTACCTATTCATCCACTTGCCTACCTATCCATCTACCTATATGTAATATATATATATTCAACTTTGGAACTTCACAAATAAATATATATATTCAAATAATATATTCATCCCAAATACTAAGTATTACATAATATATCCATCCCAAATATTACATAATATATTCATCCCAAATATTATATAATATTCATCCTAAATATTATATGATATTCATTCCAAATATTACATAATATATTAATCCCAAATATTACATAATATACTACATAATATTATAGTTATAAAATTATTTTTAAAAAAATACTATTTTTTGAATATAATAGCTTTTAAAAAAATATAGTTCAAAAACTATATTTTTTATAAAATAGTAATATCATAGTTATAAAACAATTCCTAAAAAAATACAGTTTTGCAAACCAAAAATAGCTTTTTATAACGCACAGTTTTAAAATCGTTGTGTAAAAAAATATGTAGGAGGACTGTTGGATTTATAAAACGGTTGAAAAACGGTCTTCAAACGATTTTTTTACAAAAACCATTTGCACTACATAACCGTTTTCAACCGTTTTTTTTAAAAAACCGTTATGATACACATGTTTTTGCCAGTACTGTGTTATAACAATTATGAAACGAGTTTTTTTTACATAACAGTTTTCTCACAGTCCTAAAAACCCCCCATTCTCCGGTATAGAAGAGGGTCCGATGAATGTATAGCTCTTTAGTAGGTACCAGAAGGTGTTAACATATGGTGAGGGTAGTAATTATAAAGTTGTGTATTTTCCGTAGTTGAGCTTTATAATTGGATGCCCAGTCTGTAAAATGCTTTGCTATACATACCTACAATCTGGGAGGGGAAGGACCAGTACCGGAATCAAGACTCGTAAGGCCGATAGTAAGTTCAATACGAGTGATGTAAGGGGTGTTCAGCTTAGGGTATACATACGAGTAGGTGCAGCCTAGTACGTGGCATAGCCCCTGAATTTAAGATTGAGTCTCTGTTGGGGCTCCACAGGCACCTGAATATGAAGCCCTGACCCCATAGCTAGGCACCAACGCTGCATTTCTTGCTTACCGCGCCAGACTATTCATGTTACGCTTTATCAGAGAAACGGAGTGCGGTGTTTAGATGAGGATGAGGGGCCTATCCGACGGCGGCGCAAGCTGGCCCGATCGCTGAGATAGACCAAGGCTAGTTTGACCAATTCAGCTACATATAGTTGGGCTTAAAGGACAATTCAGAAATTTGTCTTCCATTCGACAAACTTCCCCTAAGGACAAAATGCCTCCTATAGAACCCGGTTCACAAGTGTTGGTGACAGGCGGCAATGGCTTCATCGCCGCGCACTGCATCGCAACATTACTGCGCTCCAACCATCGCGTTCGAGCGACCGTGCGCTCCACCGAAAAAGCAGAAATGACTCACGATTCACTTTCCGCCGCGGGCGTCGAGAATATATCTCAACTGGAATTTGCAATTGTGTCGGATCCAACTGACTTGACAAAATTCTCTGCGACACTTGAGGGTTGCCATGCTGTTGTGCATTTGGCCTCGGCATTCACATACGATGCTTCTCCAGGCGAGTTTGAGGAGAAATTGATGATTCCCGCTGTCAAGGGCACCCAAATTGTTTGCGAAGCGGCAAAGTCTCATCCATCTATCCGAAGAGTCGTCATCATGTCCAGCTTTGCGAGTGTGTACGATGCCTCTCTGGGTCTTCAACCGGGAACGGTCTACACCGAGAAGGACTGGTGCCCCTTGACCTATGAGGATGGCGTGAATGCCGCTGCAGTGGTAAGCTCATTCTATGACCCTCGTACTTCCCAAAAATTTCTAACCAGATACAGCCTATTGCATACCGTGCCTCCAAAGTTGTAGCTGAGCGTGCAGCTTGGGATTATGTCCGGGACAACGAAGTACAGTACCAACTGATGACTCTTTGCCCAGGGATGGTATTCGGGAAGATGATTCATCCGATTTCGAGTCTCTCCCAATTGAACGTTAGCAACCAAATTGTGTGGCAGGTACTCAATGCCGGGAGGGACGGGGAAATTCCACCTACCAAAGCGCCAGGTATGTTTGACCCCACCTAATCTGGCTTTTAAAAGCTGACCCGGAGCAAGTTTGGATTGATGTCGAGGATTTGGCAGAGACCACTCTTCGAACTCTGACATACTCTGGGACTGGACACGATAGGTTTCTTGCCACCGAGGGATCATACGATACACAGGAGATTGCGGACATCATCCGCTCACTACTCCCCGAGACGCAACGTGTTCCTCTCGGAGAGCCGGGTAAAAGGATTGCGGACACGCATTACTCTTGTGATTCATCCAAGGCACAACAGGTACTTGGTATGAATTTCAGAACCCTGGAGGAGTCAGTTGTTCCATTAGCTCGACAGCTGTATGCTATGGAGAAGAATTGATATGTTGCTGAGTAGTTGGGTGTAGCATCCAACATCAGGCTAGATAGAGATCTCGCTTTCTTTCTCTTCCTCTCCACAATTCTCTCACTCCAGATCATCCGTATTGGTGTTTTTGATTGGCACTCCCTTTCTTGTGAGCAAACTTGAAATATCTTCTGCTCATGGTGATATGAAAGAAGATCTACTCCTACCTCGGAAAACCCGTAGATATACAAAGCCAACATTGCCCAGAAAGCGGGGTTCAGGCGACTAAAATTGACGGAAGAGAGAGGAGGGATTTTGAGATCTTGAAGGTAACTGAGAGGATGCGTGATCTTTGAAATTGATGTCCCAAGTTCAGGGTACAAGTGCGTCACGAGACCCGGCGATAACATGAATCCATGACAGGTGTGCGAATGTTTAAATCTAAATTCAAGCCTTTTGATGAACAGTCCTGAGTTTCATAATTCCATGTATCAACGGGTAAAACTATCTCCATCATGCTGTTCGTTGCTCGGAAATCAGCTTAGCTAGATGATCCCTCATATTGTACCCGCAGACTTCCTCAATGGTCAACTTCCCAGGATGGTCGGCAGATGAGCTCCAGCCAATACGCTCGTTCAAGTTCTCACGCGCTTTGAAACTGGCTTCTTGCACTCGTGTCGCCCGTTCCTTGCGCAAGCTCTCATAGAGAGCCAGTCCTTCCACCGCGCTGTAATTCTCGCGGAAGTTCTTATTCAAGACAAGACCCAGAGCACCGGCGTCTTCAAATGCCATACAAGATCCTTGGGATTGATCGGGCATCATGGGATGCGCTGGTTGGAAGTCAGTACCAATCGTGAACGGGCGTTCAGGGTACCTTACCCGCATCACCCAATAAGCAGACTTTGCCCTTGACCCAGTATGGATAGGGCTGGTGCTTATACACTTTGAAATAGCGTCAGTAAAGATCCATTTGCCTTGGCGCCGTGTCAGGGAATGTTGTCTTACATCTCCACATCTTGATGTCTTCGGCATTCAGCATCAAAGTTTTCATGCGTGGATCCAAATCCGGGAAAGTTTCCACAAGCTGTTCTGGTGAGGCGCTGATACTCCAACCATCATCCCTGACATTGTTGTGCGATGCTGGGTAGAAGCAATAACAGCTCACCACTTCACCGTTGCTGCAGGGAGACATGACGATCTTGTTGATTCCGAACCCGCCCCAGAATTCAATGGCCTCGTTGGAGACATAATCTTCCAGGCCGAGGGAGCGCAGCTTGTCGGCCCCGATGATGCATCTGTAGCAACATGATGTGGACATTTCGAATTGAGGCTCAATGCCGATCATGGGCCGAGTGAGAGACTGACCTGTGTTAGTTCAAATAGATTCAGAAGAAGGAAGGTGGGTTTTTTTTACCCGGATCCCATCTGCTGCCACAATAATATCCGCCGAAGTTTCCTCGCCATGTTCGAATTTGATCACTCCGCTGTCGGGATTCACATCTGTCGCTTTGAAGTTGACCTTAAGCTCGCACTTCGGCCCCGCCCCAGGTTCCTCGAATGCAGATTTCAACAACTGCTTGTGAATATCGATCCGATGGAAGTTGTTGTAGTCCTAGAATGAGCCAAAGACGAGTCTTCAGAATGGAAACATGAGAAAGTGACAAGTCTTGTACATACAGTGCCAAATTTGGATTTGTAGTCGCCAAGCGGGTACGTGCTTTTGACTTCGCCGTTGGACCAGTCGTGCATGATGAGCCGTTTGAGTATCACCTGTTTGCGATCGAATTAAAATTCTTTCCGCCCATTCTGGAAAATTTGTTTGATTGCGCACCGGCTTAGCTGCCTCCACGTCCACTCCCCACTCCTCCAAAAAGCGGGATCCATTTGACGCGGCGCTCAAAGAAGCACCAACCTCGCCAGCAAAATCATATCTTTCATAAACTGTCACTGAGTGACCCTGGCGACGCAAAGAGACGGCTGCTGCAAGACCACCAAGGCCGGCGCCAATAATGGCGACTTGAAGAGGTGAGTCGGTTCGAGCGGGCATTTTCCGAGGTTTTTCTGGTCCGAGCCCTGAAGGATACGTTGACTTTGTTTACAGCCAACACGTTATCCCAAGTCGAGCTATATATCTCTTCATGATGACAACCTTTCAACTACTCACCTCAGCAAATAACCCGGTGTCTTTTGCCATCGGCTTCGACAGCGGAATCTCGCGATAAGCGACGGAACGCGTTCTAATCTATCCGACGGCTGCATGTCTTGGCTTCTCCGCAGTTGATCATTGCCCCTTTGAGCTGAGTTTGGCTGTCATAGATTGTCGCTTGACGTCTACCAAACGCGGAAAGAAGGTTTGGACAACATGCTGACCTGTTATCTCACATTTCCCAAGGACTTGTATGGCCCAAGTTTGTTGATAAAGCTGATACCCTGTCAACATGCGTGAGCCAGCATTGTGTTTCGCCTCTCGAACTTCCTGAATACACTCACCTTCCCAACATGATTGATCAAAAGATGAAAACTATCGAGAAAGCCGAGGCTGATGACTGCGCACTTGGTAGTGTGGCCATGGATGACAGGAGACTGCTGCGCAAAATTGACTGGCATTTGCTCCCTATCATGTTCTTGACGTATTTCCTACAGATGATTGACAAAATATCTATCAATGTATGTTCCAGTGTTGGCACGAAGATGAATTGGCAGAGTATGCTAACTGTTCAAAGTATGCCAATGTGATGGGCCTTCAAGATGATTTGCACATGACGGGAAATGACTTCTCATGGCTGGCAACGGCATTCTTCATCGCATATGCTGTGGCGGAAATCCCACAGGGCACCCTTCTTCAGCGGTACTCCGTTACCAAGGTGCTCGGTTTCAACATTCTGTGCTGGGGAATCATCCTGTGCTGCTCCTCCGCGGCGAAGAAATTTTCTCACATGCTTGCGCTGAGGATTTTACTAGGCTTAATGGAAGCTGTGATCGGTGAGTCCTGAATCAAATAGCATATTCCGAGGTCCCAGTGATTGACGTTATTCAAAGCTCCTGCTCTCACAATATATACGAGCATGTGGTACACACGCGCAGAGTCAACACCACGTTACGGACTCTGGTACTGCGGATTGGGAGTCGGACAAATCGTGGGAGGCCTCGTATCCTTCGGTGCTCAACATGCCCCGGCAAACATGTCATTTGGTGGGTGGCGAATCATGTTTGTCGTGATTGGTGCTGTGAATATTCTGGCTGCAATCCTTGTGATATTTTGTCTACCCGATAACCTTGAGAAAGCACATTTCCTCACCGAAGCAGAAAAACAACGAATCTCGCAACGTCTTACTGAAGACCAGTCTGGGGCCGGGTCGAAGGTCTTCAGATGGCACTCCGTTCTCGAAGCATTTGGTGATCTGCAAACTTGGTTACTGGTTTTACTCACTATCCTCATCACGATCCCGAGCGGCGTTATTACGACTTTCTCGGCAATATTGATCAAAGGATTTGGATACAGCTCCAAGCAGAGTGCTCTGCTCAATATGCCTTCTGGCATTGTAAGTATCGTTGCAACCATGGCCTCTACCTTCGCAATTTCCAAAGGATTTTCGCGCTGGCTAGCTATCGATGTGCTCTTACTTCCCACGCTTCTTGGATCTTGCTTAATGTCGTTTCTTCCAACCGATAACCAAGCTGGATGCCTTGTTGGTATTTATCTGGTCAACACGGTATGTTGGACCCATTTTCATGAAGGGGAGCAAATACTGATTTGAATAGACTGTTGCTCCGCTGGCATTGATATATGCGTGGACCGGTGCAAATTTCAAAGGCTACACCATGAAGGTAGAGAATATTTTCCAACGTTTCAAAAGTTCTGTCCAACTAATTGTTTCAGGTCTCGGGTGCAGGTATTGTGTCTGCCGGTTTCAGCATCGCAAACATCATTGGACCTCAGACATTCCAGGCCAAGGACGCTCCACAGTAAGATATCATTCGATCTTATTCAACTTCAATCGAGGAAATCAAGAACTGACTCATCGCTTAGATACATTCCGGCTAAAATCACCATCGTTGCCGTGAATGCCGCAGCAATCGTGGTCTCGACCTCCTTGCGGATTGTTTACGGTAGACGTAATTCTACTGCCGATCGGTTAGGAAGACCTGCGCGTAGTCTGATTGAAACGCGCCTAGCAGAAAAGTGTCAGAGTGAGGATGTTCATGACGACGAGAATTTCCGTTATGTATATTAGCCCTAACATAGGAAGATAATGCCAATACTTTATCCAAACTCAACTAAGATTTCTGTCTCTATCTGTCTTGCAGTTCAATTTGACCACCTCTAGTTCTTGAACATTGTAACTCGATTTGATTTCCGTCTAGACCAATCCACTCTGGGAGTTCGCAGAAGATAACGCTAACCTCGGGCTATTTCCCCGCACTTCACTATCAACGCATCGGAAGGACCCGATCTGAACTCCCGTCGCTTCTTGTTTCTCCAACTCCTGCATCACCACACTATGAGCACCCGAGTCTGTGCCCACTGCTCCCGCATAGTCAGTATCACACGCGGCATACAAGATCCGCCGCTAATAAGTGCCAGAAACAAAGATGCGACGGCGAAACGCCTTGTTCGCGATGCAAGCGTATGCACTTTCACCCGAGACATGATAGCAAACTAATGGAATCACCAGGTCTTGGTCATGTTTGCAAGCCGCGCATTCCAGAGAGACCAGCTAACTCAACCGGCGGACCGAATGCACCGCGACGGCCACGTGCATCGCGGTCCCGCGGCGGCTGTTTGCCCTGCAAGACAAGGTAGGCTTGAGGCGGTCGAGCCCCCTGCGCTGATCCCTGCATGCTGATATGAGTATTCCAGGAAGAAAAAATGTGACGAATGCCATCCTCGCTGTAGTGATTGCCGTCGCCTCAATACCACCTGTCAATGGCCAGTTAGTGCCACGCAGACTGAACCAGTAATCCTGGATCTGAGCGATGGATCCGTCTCCAATTCAGCTCCAGGAAGCCCTGAGTATGCTTCGATCCGCGATTCCGTCGGCGAATCCAACGCTAGCCTATCTATACCAAGCCCGGCTTCTCCCTTTGACGCCGAGGAGTTTATTGCCACGCTGTTCCCACACCCTTTACCGCAGAAGAAAGCCCCGGTAATTTCATTGGAACGGCCTTTGATGATAACCAATCCTCATCTGTGCACAGATGAAGATAAATCACTTTTCAATCACTATGTGCATGTCGTTTCCAGAGCGCTTTGCCGCTCTAGTACGAAACGGAATCCTTTTTTAGTGACCCTTCTGCCATTGGCGGCAGCATCAGATGCCGTCACAAGCGTCATACTAACTTTGAGTGGTTGCCATTGGAAGAGGGTGTATCCGGGTATTTGGGGATGTGCCTTGAAGCGCCAAGGGCAAGGTCTGAACTCGCCCCATGTATCCGATTTCCTGTCTCGGCTAACAATCACTAGCAATCACACGAGTGAACGAACTACTCGGCTGTCCTGATAAGAAATCAATATTCGAAGCATGTGCCACTGTGCTTCTTCTCTGCTTGACTGAGCTGTTCGATGGCACCTCTCGAGTCTGGAAATGGCACCTCAAGGCTGCAAGTGCAATACTCAAGTCCGGTGCATTCCCAACAGTTGCCTCTGATGAATGGGACTTCTGCATTAGTCTCTTTCATTATCTGGACTCCATGTCAACCATCTCCCGTTGCAAAGCACCATTGTTGCAAGCCACAGAGAATTCCGGCGACGTGCCGATCCCAAGCCGTCGAAACAGTGTACCCGAGCTGGGGCGGAACGACTCCACGGAAACCATCTATGGGATTCCTCCCGCGCTCCTCGACTTACTGGGGATGGTCAATGTGCTGGCCAACCACCGCAGCAGACGGGTCGACGAACTGTCCGAAATCGGCTTCCGGGCGACCGCGACACATATCGAAGATGAGATCGATGAGTGGAGAGCTGCCTATGATATGAATGCCACAGACACCGATAACAAGTCAGACACAAGCCATGCAACCACTGCCTTTGAATGGGCTATTCGACTTCGGCTTCATCAAATCGTTGAGGGATACGATGCACTCCATGATTTTGTCAAGCGGGCGGTCACCACGATTCTCGATTGCGTGCAGGAAGTTCCCTACGCAAGTAGAGTAGAAGGGTGTCTTCTATTCCCACTTGTCATTGCAGGGTCTAGCAGTCTTGCTATCGAGAGACGCATGTCAGTCAAAGAGCGATTGATGGTGATGGAAAACACCCTTGGCTTCAGTCACATCCATCATGCGCGTCAACTGCTCGAGGCCGTGTGGAATGGGAACGAAACTTCCGATCTCAATTGGGCTGCTGTGCGTTATAGCCAGTTTCCCGGTGTTGTTTTCGTCTAGTGGATCTGATTGAGCGGAAATTTTCAAACACGATGCAAAAGTTCCACCTATCGAGATCTTGGAAGTCTTGCGCTTGTGCGCGAAGATCATCACCTGAACAGGGTTAGGTTTCTGAATCATGATCATGGTGTTACTCAACTGACCTGACTAGCGAACATAGAAAATCCCCAATCCAACTCCTTTTGTGGGTCATGTTACGAGAGCGAATCGCGCCTACGAGTATACGAGTATACGAGTTGAGACTGACAGACGGGGAATGTCAAAGGGGTCGGGATGTCTCAGAGTGGGATACGGTGTTCTCCGTATGGTGTAGCCCCCAAGATCGATCGGCGCCCGCCTCGGTCCAGCCCGTAGATCTTTGTCTCACACGAGCAACTTGCTATACGAAGATCAATCTTTGATGGTATCAAGTGATATTTTCTCATGTTCTGACGAGGTAGGAACGAAGTATTATTTTGAGTATCGTTTTTGAAGTTACATTTCTCGGCAACGAAGATGAAATGCCCAATTCTTATCCTCAATTCGATCACGAGTTGATGGATCGTTTAGAGAGCCGAAGCATTCCTGTTATACAAGTACATCACCAATGGTGTGAAGGAGCCTGGCTACTTTCATGCCAGGTCATCTGCCGATCAACTCGGATCGAGTTTAACGGTATCTCATCGTCAGACCCATTCTCTGTCGCGACAACAGAAAGCTGAATCTTCCTGCTGGCGAGAACCTCATTTCCAGGCCGCAGAGCCGAGTCACCAATGCCGTATCCCTCTGATAGTTTTGATCCCGCGGCTCTCGTATCCCGGGTCCCTGCGCTGCTTCCAAATCTCGATGAAACGAGCTTGAAAATGGGACGTAGTGTCGGCATGCATGCGGAAATGATGCCTGATGAGGTTTCAACGGTACACCAGGTGCAAGCATTCCCCAGTGTCCAGGCAACGTCTGTTGGATCGAATTGGAAAAGGGTGGTGAAGCGGTATATACTTGTGAAAATGACACTAACCACATTTCATTAGTTCATGACCGTGGGTGTGGGGGAATAGGTGATCGCACAAGCTACCCAGGAGGAACATTCCAATCACTGAAAGACGGTGGACGAGATTCGCATGGAGTCCCCATACAGCGCGGACGGGAAGCGACAAGATCGCAATGTCGGTCACGATGTTTGGCACTGCGTTGCCGATAAAGGAGCCCTTTAGGTTGATGCAGGTACCTGGGATCGTAGGGTTCCATGCCCTAGCGACCGGTGTGCATTGGAAGACACTGACGAAAATGATTGAAATCGCCCAAGAGATTGATACTACTCCCAGGATGATGGACGCTATTCGGAATCCTTTGGTAGGAAAGATGCGAGCGTACATCAGCAGAATCGAGATCTTCGTCAGCGCAACTGCTGTGACATAGACGCACTCGAATGCGATCAGCAACTAGAACGATGTTAGCCATCGGTCACAATACTAGAAAAGGTCTCGTTCAACTTCGCATACCTTTCCAATCATCATGACATCCTCAACCGGGAGGAGGCTCGAATGGAACCCCATGCCATAGTGAATCACTATAATCTGTAAGACTTTAATTCAAGACAAGCCTCAAATGTGGGTACTTACATCCTAGCATGAGCCCAGTAAGCACAAATAGAAACAGCTTCATCTAATGTCAGTCATGCATATAGTGTTGGTCGATATTGCATACCAAAGCCACGACAAGCATGTAGTCATCGACACCGGGCGTTAGACCCTTTTTCCACCGCGCTAGAAACCTGAAACCTGTGAAGAGGACCGCCAAAACCACCATGGCGATGGTAGTGGCCCGGAAATTCCTCTGATTGCTTGCATATTTCTCCGGCGTGGACATTGTGTTCGCCCGCGACACAGCAAAATTCGGGGCTACAGCATTTTTTTGAACTTGTGGTTTTGTGCATGTGAGTTCGCGTAAAGGAGGTCCCCATCCACATCTAAATGGCCCCCAAAAAGAACGGCAACAGAATCTCTGCATTGGGTCGGCTCCAACCGGTCGATCGTCCCGTCTTTTGAGATTAGTCTCCATAATAATCTTCCCCGAACCAATTATATTCCGAAGGAATGCAAGGAGCCAACAATAGGCTTGTTTATGATTCAGCTAGTCTCCGCCGCCCGGTGTCATTTGTTTGAGTTGACACCTGTGTGGATCGCAAATTTAGGATTTAGGACGCATCAAGTGCGCAGGATGCATTAGCTCGTCTGCAATTCGAGAACTAACACTCTAGCGCTCCTGTGGCGTATTCCTTCGCCCTCTTGGCTATCTCAACGGTTTCCCACTCGATGTGTGTCACGTCGGATCCACCAATGGTCGGTAGTGAAACACGTCCTTCAAAGCCACCACCGGTGGATGAATGGATTTTGACGGGAAAGCATCCCAATCTGCACTAAATGATCATCCCACGTGGAATTCGGGGATGAATTCTCCGGTCAATGTCCGTGCCAAGGAGTACGACAGTATTTCGTCTGCTCGTCCCGAGAAACGGGTATTTACTCCAGAGACGCCCCTGAACATTCAAACACTCACTTCAACCTCCGCTCACAAATTTCAAAATGATTCCAACCGACAAACCCGTTTTCGTCTTCGTGCCTGGCGCATGGCACACTGCCGACACTTTCGATCAGGTCCGGCAGCTGATGCTGAGCCGTGGGCTGGCTAGTGAAGCTATTTCTTTGCCGTCTGTTGGTGGACCTCTTGAGAAGGGTCTCCACGCAGATATCGAATATACCAAAATCATTCTTCGCGAGATGGCCGACGCCGGGCGCCAGATTGTGGTGGTGAACCATTCCTACGGTGGAATGGTTGGTTCTGGAGCAGTTGAAGGCCTTGGATTCAAACAACGAGCCGAGGCCGGTCTACCCGGTGGCGTTATAATGGTGGTGTGGATGGCAGCATTCGTCACACCGAAAGGACAAACTGTTCTGGATCAATTGGGTGGAAATTGGCTTCCATGGATGATAATCAAGGTCAGTACCATTTCTCGGACCTTTTTTCCGTCGGTGGAAACAACCAGTTAACAGTTTTTTAGAACCCCGATGATGGATATTGCTGGTCTTCCAGTGCTGAGCAGATCTTTTATCACGACATGTCACCGGAAGAACAACAGAAGGCGATTGCCAAATTACAGCCGCAGCCACAGAAGTCGTTCAATGAGCCTGCTGTGCATGAGCCATGGCATGAGATGCCGAGTATGTTCTTGTTCTGTGATCAGGATCAGGCTCTCCCTTTGGCTGTTCAGGAGAATCTGGCGAAGAACTTGGTCGACCCTGTGACTTACCACGTTGATGGATCTCATTCGGCGTTTTTGAGTGTCCCCGAGCAGGTCATCGATGGGTTGGAGCTTGCCCTGAAGGAGGGCCAACAACGAAGTGAGGTTCTTGTGAACTGATTTTTGACTCAGCCAATTTATATCATACTTCGAAAGTTACTTTTTCAATTTATCAGGAAGCATGCTCCCATCATCCTCAAAGTAATCATCTTGGTTGACACCTTTTGTATATGTTCATTTTCTTGAAGTTGTCGATAGAAGAAATCAACAATATTTAGATGCCTGTGGATATTCAAGTCCACGGCGGCTTTTGCCGATTCCAACGGTATTGTATTTTGGCGTAGTCGGTACTGTGAGCCCCATCATTGGCGTAGCCTCGGCTATGAATTTCAGTGTCACAATCAAGATGCCTATGAGGCTAGATCCTCAAAAATCGCCAATTAGTCTCACTGGTTTGCCTCCCCGAAAACTGGCTAATAGGCAGAAGTCTGATTCAAAGATCAAAACACGTTTTACCTCAAGTAAGCTGCGGCTCAACGAGATCAGATCCCCTTTGACCGAGTTAAACATGTGGGGAAAGTATCCACTGTAGCTCCACTCCAGTTATAAGACACTTCAAAGGCATGTGGCTTCTCTTGGTCCTTGTTGTTCGAATTTTGTCAGTTTCTATGCAAAACTGCGTCTTTACTGCCTGGTTGACGACCTTGGCGAGCTGCGGAACGGAAAATCTTAGATCCCGGTAATCATCGGCGCAAGCTCGTCCCGTTTGCGACTTCAAGTCAACCCCGCGATCTTTGCCAATCTGCTATTCTCATCAACTTCTCTCGATCATTGATTTCCATTTTGCGAAAGTCATATCTGTTTCAAGGACACAAGACAACATCCCATTTTCCCGCTAGAGCTATGTTCAGGCGTCCGAGACTGACAGAGGCCGATGGACGGTCTTTGAGACTAAGCAAAATTCTTCAGCCTACCGATATGATCCCTTGGTCAAGTCTCGCAATGTGGTACCTAGGGGTACCCATTGGTCTTGGCGTGAGTATCTCCTTCAGTGGTGAACTTGATCTGTGCTCGTTCTAGCTAATGACATCCCGATCATCCCAGGCCCCCATGATTGTTGTCCGAGATGAGGATTACGCGGCCAGCATTGAAAAGTTTGAGAGTGCGGGCTTCCAATGAGGTGTCCCCAATCGCGCCCCCACTCCCGAAGTTCTGGACGACCTGCCAAATCCACAGCAGGTGTTGGAGGAAATAAACGCTGGATACAGGCGCTTGGATCCCTCTTGCACCGTCTTCGATTATCCACTTGGTGATCCAGGCGAAGAGGGCACGCAGTTGTTCCTCATTCCGGACTCCTTCGCGCGGATTTTCGAAGAGGATATGTCAGACCCTTCGACCAGAACTGTGGATGCGACGTCAACAACGCGATTCCATAGTTACGGCAATCTGCATTATCCACTTGAGCCGACACTCGTGGAAAGCTTCGTCAAGGCTACAATCGATGAAGAGACCGACCCTGGCTTTCCGGGCTATTCAACCTGGGAGGCATCGCTACAGGCATGGATATCTATGATGGGAGGATATTTAGAAGTGAACAACGATATCCTCGATATGTGCACAGATGAAAAAGCGGTGCAGTGGTATAGTGAGAGGTTTGGTCGAATTCGTGAGGCCAAATTTGGTCCCCGCGATCTACGCATTACAAAACGTCTCGGCTCAGGTAAAGAGATGCCAATAGACATGAGGGGTAATCCTCTTTGATGATTGCCCTCGGTCAGATTTGAATGTGACTCATGCTGGTATCTGGTTGAAAACCCCTCGATGCAGCGATTGTTCCATTAAATTCACTAACACACCCACTCCACCGTGAATATCCACCTCTCAGTCATTGCATGACTTCAGGATGGTAACCACTAGATTTGGAAAGCAGTGTCACACTTGATCTTTGCCTTTAGAGGCTGGGCCAACTCCGGCCTCTTCTGCAGGAGATTTGCCAGTGCGGTTTGCATTTCTGCATTTCCGTTGAAGTCGAGCTCCGCAATGCCTTGTTGGGCTAAAGGGATCATTCTGATGAGATCACCAATATCTGCGCCTTCTTTTTGACTGCCTTGTCGCTGATACTGGGATAATATCTTTTCGCGCAAAATCCACCCAGCACTGAAGAGTTTGACCACTTGAGCGTTGATATTCATCCTCGTCCGTGTAGCTGCCGGGATGTTGGACTGGGGACGTTGTGGCCAGGATCGATGGTCAAAAACTTCCAGCTCTACCAGACGAACGCCTCCTGTAGGCTGGGCCAGCTTGTACGCGGGAATTGTATGCCCGAATTGGCTGACACCTTCGAACTCGGCAGGGTATGACTCGAGAAGCACGGTTGTCAAAGAATTGGCGGTGGTCATACGATGATCAACATGGATGACCAAGTCAATGTCGTTGGTCGTGCGATTGGCGGCTGGACTCAGCAGGTAGCTCGCGGCTCCTCCCATCACAGCCTAGTCAATGTTCAATGAATCTAGTTTTTGTGCGAGCGCGGAAACGACAGTCCTCATCTCTTCTTCACTGAGAGGATACATTGTATGTATAGTATGGCCTTAAGAAAGACCAAATTTGGAAAGTAGGAAGATCTGTATAGCTTGGATTAATCGGAGGGAAGGCACTCAGCAAGGGTAACCAGCCGGATTTAAACCAATCTCGCCGTATCCATGTATGCTCTCGGCGCTTGCGATGTTGGGAAGGCGCTCACATCACACCTGCGCAATTCCATCACACGAATCAAACTGGCTGTGGCGTTAACCTACTGAGATCCTTGAAGATAAAAGACAGTGACAAGGGTCTGAGACGGTCTGTATGACTGTGACCAAAAATTACCAACACCTATTCCCGGCAATAGGGAATTGATATGATAGGTTGGCCGTTGCCAACGCGTCAGAAAACATTATTATGCCCACGAGCGAGAAAGGAGCCGGACAGAGAACGACGACGCTCTAGCCTCTTAGTAAGTGAAAGAGAGATATGTGTAAATAGAGAGAGAACTCGAGAAAGACCTCAAGAGAAGGATATAAAAAGAGATGAGAGGGATCGAGAAGAGCGGGCCATCCACAGTGCTGAAACCCCGAAGAGGACCTATGTTGGAATTTTCAGAAACACTTGCCAACGTCTAGTGCTGTTACAGGTCAATCGTGTGGTTTAAGGATATCAAAACCTGTCCCGACCCTGTCCCAACTGGCTCAGGGGCATGGGGTATTCCATAGTTGGTTTCAAGCGTCCAAGCAGCTGGAATCTAGCGAAGATAACCTTCTGACGCGAGCTTTCAGCGGCCCCTTGAGTATCTTGGCTGTAGTGTATTGGATTCTTGTTGATTTTGATTGGGTCACAGGCTCATCCTATGAGCCTGAACAAATCCATGGGGGTATGGGACATGTCATGCTGCGTGACTTCACTGGCGCTAGCTGTGGGAAGCGCGAAAGCGCATCCAATGGGGTTGGCCCACTAGTGTTGGCTGTACCGTCCGACGACGCGTGCTGGGCATATGCGTGGCGCGGGCTAGTATCAAGATACCATCCCATCTCATAGTGATTTAGCGCTCTTTGTTGATGTCAGTGAATGTTGAGCAGGTGTAGAGCGGGATCAGTGTATGGCACCTATGAAGTACAAAAAGTAGCTCTTTACAGGTGCACCGTTTTTGATCCAGGAACTCAGTGGTATTGATTTTTTTGGTGTTTGTAATTTAGGTGTTCCGGGATGTCAAAGCTGGCTGAATCCTCCAATGCCAGTCAAAACCAAGTCAAAATATCCATCTGTCATCCCCATCTTTTGCGTAGTGGCCAAAACGATGACAAGCCAAACCACCCGCATCTCTGCAAGACCAGCTTACTTGCTGGACTTGCCAGAGTCCTGGGAGGACTGGCTAGGAGGAGTGTAGGTGGACTCTCCTTTTCCGGAGTTGTAGTAGGTTGAACCGTCAGAGTTCGAGTAGTAGTAGGATCCATTCCTGGTCAACATGTAAGCTTTTGGATCAGGCTTGGTGGACTGAGACGGTCGTCACTTACTGGTTAGAGTAGTGGTACGAGTTGGGGTTCGAGGCACCACTGCCGTAGTCACGGTTGCAGTAGTGGTTTCCCTAGAGCTTGGCGTTAGACGGTTGTAGATCATTGGATGACTGACGACTTGCCTGGCTGTTGGTGCCGGAGCCCCGGTAGGAGTACTGGTTACCGTAGTTGTCTTCAGGCATCTTGGGGGATCAATGTGCAGTGGATTCAAGAAGAAGAATCAGAAGTTGTAAGAGTTGTAAGTTTGAAGTGTCTCGATGAGAGTTGCAGAGAGGAGAAGAAGAAGAGAAGAGAAGACGGGCAGCACGGGGCTTTTATAGGGGTTGACAAACGAGCAAACGAGGAAGGAATGAAGAGACGACTCGTCACATCTTCATTACATTTTCAGATTCACTTCCTCTCATTTAGTTACTAGGAGCGCAACTTGCGGAACTTATTTAGTTTCCACATCCCATATCGGGCAATGAGGCCAGTCCCTATCACACACGCGCCGACCAACACTGCAAATGCAGAGGCACTTTCCTCGAAATCGTTCACGACATTCATCCCAAAAAGTCCAGCCACGAAAGTCGACACGGCGAATCCAAGCATACAGATCTCAAGCTGAGCTTCGAAGATCATGATCTGATTCCGTCGTACATCCAATATGGACTGAATGGTGTCCGTGGTACGATTGACATCTCCCAACAATGCATTCGCAGACTCGGCAATGCCATCGGTGTTTTTATAGTATGCCTCGAGAAGATACTCGACCTCTTGATGGTCCTCGATTGAATGCGGTTTACCCCCCTGGTAGTCTGACAAATACATGGTGGCCATATCTTGGTCGTTTCCAAGAAGCTCTTGCAACGCAGATCGAACCTGTCGTGCGCGCTGCTCAATGCCCACCAGTCGTTTGCTGTGGTCCTGCAAACCACGCAGGACCGAGTGCACGATATCTTCTCGTGTTGAGTCTCGGAGGCTGTCTTCTACCTCCGTTCTAATGAGGACATGTTCTGCTTCAAGGACGGCAATCACAGAGGCAAGCGCGGCGTCCACAACGCGCAGCTCGAATGGTAATTGCGTCAAAAGACCAGTGCCGGAGGTAGGCTGGAGCCTATGCTGTACATCTTTCAGAAATACATCCTGGATCTTGATATCGGTGTCTTCGATCGGGAGTATGAAGAGAAGCACCTCATCCGAGCGCACGAGGAGGCGCAGATTGAACATGCTGATGAAGATAGTAGATGGACGAACCAATATGTGCGGGATTCCCTCTGAGACCAGATCGACATTTCTCAGATCGCGTCCGTCAAGACCGTACCTCTTCGCAACGGTCGCCTTGGTGCCTTTCAATTCTGAATCTTTGACACTGCCATCGACATCCAATAGCATGCATCGCAGCTCGGTGGCGTCATTCATTCGACTCCGCGACAATGCAAGCGATAAGTCGAACACTTTCTGGTTGAATGATACCTCCTGGCTCATCTCTGTCTCTGACATTACATGCAGTGACTTTTTAGGCGCGGTTATGATTCCTCGTCGCAGAATCCTGTCCATTGGGTCCTTCGGGCGGATGGCGCCGGACTGGCTGGGAAATTGTCGACATGATATATATCTGCACTGCGAAAGCCCAGGTTTTGAGAACAAGGAAAATAACCCCTTCGCCATGTCTTTATGCATCCTGTTCAATGTTGTTCAATGTCTGGGGAAGTCCGATGTTGCCAGGGATACACTAATCAAGTTAGCGCGGGCTCAGTCTTGGCATATCTGAGCGCGGACATATAATGTTCTTACTGCTGTCTTCGGTCTTTCAGGCAGATCTATAGATACATGATGGTGTTATCTGCTGGAGGTATACTCTTGTCAGATGGCTATTCTAAGTTTACAATTTCCTTGTTTCGATGAACCCAATTTTGATTTCTGGACTCCGGCTTTGATATATATTTGCTGACAGGTGGGTGCTCTCAAATCACAAATCTGGCTGTTCAAAGCCCACGACCAAAGGGCCCAGCCCACGGTTTTCCTAAGGAGGCAAGTTCCTGACTCTCCTCACAACCTCCCGGGCACCACCATCAATCACCGCCCTTGGATTCCAGCAATACTCAATGATCCCGCCAGCCCAGAGATCCGTGACGTCCGGCAGACTTTCCTGGGGTGGATATTCAGCACAGGAACCGTTCCCGGGATAAATAGTCACCGGGCAACGCTTACCAGTGAGGATAGCGTAGAAGACTGAGCCCAACCGGATCAGATCAGTCCAGATGGAACAGTGGTAGTCATCTATGTAGTCATTCATAGCCCGGGCTGGCGGGACGATAGTAGACGCGCCGAAGTCCGTGATCATAATATTCCACGATCCATCAAGCAGGATGTTGCGGAGTGCGATGTCATTGTGGAGGATGTGGTGTGCGTGGATGTTTGATAAACCATCGGCTAGCTGCTGTAGCCAGCGTCGTTGGAGTGCCATCGATGGAACACCCATATGCTTCAGCATGTTCTCCAGAGTGCCCTGGGACATGTACTGAAGTTCGATGGTACTGCCCCACAGCCCGGTGCATGGGACGATGCCTGGACAATGCATGTTGATATTTGGTTGGAGGAGTCGGTAGATAGTCTGTTCTTGTTTGATGTGGGCGCGGTTGGTGAGGATGATGGCGGGGCTGTCATATGTGTGGACGATCGCCATTTTGCGGACCGTGTTGGCCCCGCGGACGATCACGGCGTGGTTGCCTACGCTGATGATCGTGGAGAGCTTGATTGGATGGCCTGCGTCATCCAGCAGGAAGTATCGGTGATCCATTTGGTGGTACCGGTTGGCTCTTCGGACGAAAGAGCAATTGATATGGACGCTGGTAGCGTGCGTGAGTGAGCATGGCACGCTCAAGTGGGTAATTGTGTTGAGACTGGCTGGGAAGAGAGAAAAAAGGGAACGGACTGAATTCATTCTCTGCGGGGAGAGAAAGAGAGAATAAGCAAGAAGCTAGGGAATTGGGAACTATCTACATATGTTGGGGCGAATACCCTACACAACGAATTGAAACCTTGGTGAATGAAAACTGAACGCATTGCAAGAGGTGTAGAATGCAATAGTTATTGTTGCAATGAAGCCGAACTTATAGATCGGCTTGGCATTTGGACACGGGGGTCCCCACACGCGAGGACCCTGACAAACACTGCACATTCTCTTCTCTCTCATTTCTCCTTTTCGCTCTCGACACCATCTCACACACGATGGCATTATCGATCAGAGATCACTGCAATGTCCACCCCATCTACAACCATGTCTATGACGACAAACTGCATCAGACAGCAGCCGACGAAGTTGATACAGACTATTGAGATGCTACGACTAGTATGATTTCACCGAGAGGAAATTGCAGTGTAAGTCTAATATATTCTATATCTAATCTTCAGCTATTCTCATCACTCATTAGGTTCATTGCCAACTCAGTTAGTCAGAACATAGCGGTAACGAGCGTCACCGTTGTCCATATCCAAGATAGCCTGGTTAGCATCCGACATAGGACGCTCCTGGATCCAAGGCTTGATACCCTTATCAGCAGCAAGCTGAAGCATCTCCCGGATCTCACTAGGGCTACCAATCAAAGAACCACCCAGCTTGATGCCCTTGACAATCAGAGCGAAAGCAGGGATCTCAAGACCACCATCTTCAGGAGCACCCAGCTGGATGAAAGTACCACGGAAGCGAAGCAGACCACAGTACTGGACGATGGGCATCTTGGAAGAAGAGGCAGTGGAGATGATCAGGTCGAGAGAGCCAGCGTGCTTGGTGGCCCAGTCCTCATCCTCGCCAGTGGCGATGAAGTCATCCGCGCCAAGCTTGAGGGCATCGGCCTTCTTGTCGGACTTGCGGGAAATGGCGACGACGCGGTCAGCGCCGAGGGCCTTGGCGAAGAGAATACCGAAGTGGCCCAGACCACCGACACCGACGATACCGACTGTCTTGCCGGGACCGCAGCCATTCTGGCGGAGAGGGGAGTATGTGGTGATACCGCCGCAGAGCATGGGGGCTGCGTCGGCGGAGGAGATGGCGTCAGGGATCTTGATGACGAAGTGGGAGGGGGAGCGGTTGTAGGTGGCGTAGCCACCGTACGACTTGCCGCCGTTGGCGTAGGTGCCGTTGTAGGTGCCGACCATGCGGTTGCAGTGCTGCTCGAGACCAGCGGCGCAAGCCTCACAGTTGCCGTCGAAGTTCTGGCAGGCGGCGCTCTGCGCACCGACACCGACACGGTCACCGACCTTGATGTCACCGGTGGCCTTGGAGCCGACGCGGACGGCGGTACCCACGAGCTCGTGGCCGACGCAGCAGGGGTAGTTGGAGGGTCCCTGAGAATGTTAGCGGGGCATTGGAGGCGAGCATGGAGAAGCTTACCCATCCACTGCGCAGAGTGTGCAGGTCAGAGCCACAGATACCACAGTGGCTGATCTTGATGTCGACGTCGGTCTCCTCCCAAGGCTTGGGCTCGAACTCCTGCCAGACCATCTTTCCCTGGCCGGCCTCGGGGCCGAGGCCCATCCAGCCCTCGAACTTGTAATCGGTGGAAGACATTATATTATTGATGTGCAGATGTGAATGATTGATCTCTGTGCCCGGCCTTGGTCGGTTCTTTATATCCTCTGGAATGCACGGCGAGCCCCAGAAAATCCATGGATTTCCATGGCGATTTGTGATCCCATCCGAAAAATGGTCCCATCGCCATCAAGGAAAGGTCCACGACGAGGTCCACTTGACCCGTTGTGGGTTGTCATCACGGCCTTAACATTATGTCCGGAGAAGAAATTTCACTGCAGTTTGCATTGTGAGTGGAGGGTTCCCAATGGTCAGGGATTGAGGATGTGATATGGCTTTGTCAGTACCATTACTGCCTTCGAAGCTCATATGTCCATTTTCGTACTTTTGTGTCTTCAGGGTCTAGTTAAGTCCGGCATAAGCAGTCAGCAGTCTAATTAAGAACCTGCAGTTAACCGGACTTAATCGACTGTCTCCACTGTTGTGCTTTGTCTCCGATTCGGGCAAATATTGGCCCGTTTGCACTGTTTGCACTGTTTGCTGCATCTACGTCATACCTTTATGCAAATTATGCACTAGTTCCTCCAGAGGATATGATATCACAGTAAAAGCAATTTCAATATTTAGGGATATCTCAACTAGTCACGCTGATCTCTAAGAATTCTTCGTCTGCTCCTCATCGGAAGACTCCGCCTTTTGTCGACGGATATAATACTGCACACCAAGTGCAAGACAAAGGACCCACGAAACACCCGCAATAGCAGAGCTAGCGGTGAGGCCGTGGAGATATTTCGGCGCATCGGATGTCCGGAAGATCTGCGAGCCAGCAATACCAGCGCAGTTAGCGGCCATCACTACTAGAGCCATGGCAACACTGCGCTCTTGCGGTGTGCGGCAGTAATACGATAACCAGCCGATGTTGAGAATACTACAACCTGTTAGTGGTGGAGTGGAAAGGGGTGGAAAGTGACTTACTGCATTGTGCAGTATGAGACGTTTGCAATGGCGATGATGCCGTAGCGGTGCCATTGTGAGGCGTGGGGATCGCTGGTGCGAAGACAGACGTATGCGATCACGTTCCATGTTATGGATATAAGGACGAAGGGGCCCCGGTGTTTGGTTTTGTCGCTGTAATGGTCAGCAAGGGACAACTGAGAGTAGGTATTATGGACTCACGAAGCAATTGACAAAATGAGCAGCCACACCATGCTGCAGTACACGGGCACCGAGTTCAGGGCATTGGCCTTGACGGCATCGAAGCCGAGGGACTTGATCATGCTGGGACTGTACTGCGTGATACCCTGGAAACTGGTCATCGCGACCAGGGTCAAGAAAACGTGTTGCATGATGCGAGGTTCCTTGAGGGTCTTCAGGATATCACGGCCTGTGATCTGGATGTGTCCCCGGGCCTTCCGGGGATCATCCAGCAATACGCGGTTGCGAATGATATGCGATTCGCGCTCGGTGAAGTAGCTCCAGCGACCGGCAGCAATCAAGGGACGGCCATCACCTGCGGATGGGGGCACCAAAAGGGTGAAAATGATTCCAATGAAGAGTGTGATCAAGCCCTCGACTAAACAAAGTCAGATCTGAAATGAATGATTGAATTTATGAACATACCCAAGAAAATCCATCTCCAACCCTCCATTCCATGTGTCCCATTCAACTTCAACAACCCAGCTGAAATCAAACTCGATGTCGCAGCAGCAAACATCTGCCCATAGAAGAACAAACTAGTCCGCAGACTCGTTTCATCTTTCTTGTACCACGTCGAAAGATAGTACAGCGCACAAGGGATGAAGCCACCTTCACAAATACCCAACAACACCCTCGTCACCAGGTATCCAGCATATGATTGAACGAAAGCCTGGAACGTGGCGACCAATCCCCATGCAAAAAGCTGACCAGAGAGCCAGATACGCGGTCCGAGTTTTTGCATGATGATGTTCGATGGGATTTCGGATAACACAATACCCGCTGAGAGCAGCTGGGATCCAATATTAATTTGGTTCGTTGTTATATGCAGATCCTGTGTTATGGATGAGGTCAACACGGCACTGATGTTTCCTCGATCCATTTGCAAAGCGAAGAATGCGACCGCGAGGATGGGGATCAGGATGAAGTCGATTCTGAGTGAGATCTGTTAGTTTGCGCTCGAGACTGTATGGGATTCACATACTTGCGCCTCACGGCGGACTCTTCCTCGTCCCAATCTTTAACTAGAACATCGTTTTCACTTGGCGGTGCAGAGATCACCTGGTCATTAATTTGTTTTTCATCAAAACTTCCATCCGACATATTGCGATCGGTAGTCATGTTGAAGAAAGACCAAAAAAGGGCTGCAGATCACAAAACTTTCAATGAAGCGGGCGATCCTTCTTATAAGAGGGGCTCAAAGCAATAGATTTATTTTCTCTTTCGAAAAAGTAAAACACGGGCCCATTCCATTATCGTGCCTTGCGTCGTGTACGCGAGATTCGTGCGCCGATTGGCGATGCCGCTGTTTAGCTGTCGCGACACGGCGGGGAGTTATGGCGCAATCTTTGGCACTTTTGACTACATTCCACCACTTTTGCCGACGTTTATCCTGGTCGCTTTTGATGCTTTTGATTGGATCCCCTGATTTGATTGCATCGTGTCTCGGTTGTTTACCTCGTGGTCCTCGGGTCACCCGAAAGCCTATTGCCACGTTTCCGTCTATCACCTTACTGTCGCCTAAGTTTACTTTGCATTTTTCGAACAGTGGATTTGGAAATGTCGAATTCATTTCTAGTTTAAAAGTTCGTTAAATTAAACTTCTATACCCAGACATCCCAGGACACGCCATAGCGACTTGTCAAAGGAACCTGAGGCCCTTCTGCTTCGGGAATGTATCCCTCGGCACACCAGTCAAACGAGACCTGGGGTTGCGCGGCGTAGAAGCCATCATATTCCTCAACCAGGGCTTCGTGGAGCGTGGTCACATTGTCTACTGGCTGCAGCACATCCCATGGCTGGATGCAGGTCTGTCCCTGGCATGACTTGAGAACCATCAATAGTGCATCAAGTCGATTGATGGCGTGGGTGATGCTGCGGCCGAGAATCTTAGGGCCACCGCTGACTTGAGCCGTGGTTCGGTAGAGATTGTTCACTTGGTAGGGATCCGTCTGTGGTTGTTAGTACTCGGGAACGGACTCGGGTTTGGTATTGTGTAAGGGAATACTCACTGATAGGTCGTAAAGCTCGTGCTCATTGTTGCACCAAACTGAGTAGTACAGGTTGTAGCCTTCTCCGAGCAAGCGAACGGATTTGTATGTGTTGTTTGGAATCAGAGTTGAGCCTTGGGGACCTATGGAATATCAATTAACGCATTCCACAATGTGAAGGAGATGAACTTACCAATTCCACTGAATGCGCCTTCAGCAACGGCAGAGCCCCAGTATTCCACCGTGACATGTTCATGTCTCTCGCCTTCAAAGTCAGGGGTGATGGGAATCGCAGTGCCGTCAAAGTCATCCCTAGCCGGGATCCCAGCCAGATGGAAGAACGTCGGCGCCAGATCCACATGCGTAGTCACCGCATCCTGAAGATGTCCCTTTGGAACACCCGGACCCCGAATAAACAATGGCACCCGAATATCCTCTTCGAATCCACATGTCTTCCCAGGTGGCAGACGGTGCTGACCGATATGGAATCCATTATCAGAAGTATAGATGATATAAGTATTATCAGCCTGTCCACTGTCCTCAAGACGAGTAACCAACTGATCAACCAACTCATCAACACCCTGCAAAGCCTGCAAACGGGAACGGTAGAAAAGATCATTATAATCAACGACCGTTTGGTTCTGCTTCGGCAGATCCCGAATCCAACCGGCTCCACTCGGCTATGCACGTTAGACTCAGATCGCAATAGGGATTTCAATATCGGCCGCATCTTACCTGGTCCGGATTAAAGTTCGCGTGTCGTGGCACCGTCACACCCTGGAATAGATCCTCGTGGCGCTGAAGCGGAATGGGTAAGCCCATGGAGATCTTGCCCCCCTCGATCGAATCGGGTTCCACATTCGAGTGCGGTGCGACAGGTGAGACAACTAGGAAAAATGGCCTGTCGCCTTCCAGTGCGTCGTCTAAGAATCCGAGTGCTTTGCGTGTGATCACGTCGAGGGTATGTTCGCCCTCGTGACTAACTGGCGCGTCATGATTGCGCTGATATGTCGAGTTCAGGTACGAGTATGTGTATGGATCGAGGAGGAAATCAGACCCGTTGAACCCGTTGATGTGAGGGGAATCGTAGTTGTCCACGGTATGCGCATTGAACATCTTGCCCGTGTAATAGGTGTCATAGCCTGCATCTTGAAGCCACAGGGGTAAGAAGTTCTCGTTGAAGCCGCGCTCCACGAACTTGGGATATCCGCCGTATGGCGGTTTCACGTCTGTGACGTTCGTGTTGTGCGCCTGTCGGCCTGTCCAGAGGCTTACGCGCGACGGACAGCATAGCGCTGTGGTGACGAAGTGGTTTGTGAAGAATGTGCCTTGATCGCGGATGTGTTTGGAGATGAGGGGTGTGTAATTGATTGAGTCCAGCTGGAGGTCTTGATCGTCGGTGATGACGAAGAGGATATTTGGTTTTCGTGATTCGCTGTGTTGTAGGACTGTTTGGACGGCGGACTGGAGGTTAGTTTGGAGGTCTGTGAATGCTCCCGCGCTGGCGACAAGCGCCGCGACCGTGAATAACTTCATTTTGATGTTTCTTTGAGCTGTTGATCTTCGAGCTGCTGGGTTTTGATATCCGAAGCTCGGCAAATCTGGAGAGTGGAGCGATGATGCCATCCGTGGCCCCGATTGCGATGTGGGTCTCGATGCTTAGCTCTGTTCCTGGTGAGATGCCCTGGATTGCTCTGGATTGCCCTGGATGGAGTTGCAGTATTCGACTGCTAGTAGTGACGGCACTGGGGGAAATCAAGGGATAGGTGGTGACACGTTGTACTCGTACGGTAGCTTATCTCAACTCCTGGAATTGCTTTTTCCTTTCCTTGGCGCGATGAAGAGGTTCCTCGCGAGTATAAGAGTGGGCCGTATTGCGTGCTTAAGCCTCGCAATGAGATCAGAACGCCATACTTCGATTCTGTTGCACTTTTATCTTGGCAACAACGGAGGTCAACGGGTGTCAACGGGAATCTGGATCGTGTAGGTGAAATAAATGTGTCGCGAGCTGAAAATCCATCCGAACTAGTGATTCCAAGCGAGCTGCAGGAAGGGGTCAAATGACGTCCGCAACCCCGTTCCCCCGAAGTATTTGTTTGTGAGAAATTCAAATCATTCAAAATGGCTGCCAATGCAGATATCAGCACAGAGGTTGCTGAGAGAGACAGCCGTCATGAACACGACGAGGAGCGTCCCTTGCTGGCGCAGTCGCCAACACCCAAGGTACAGCCCGTCGCTGGGGTTGTTACCATCATTGCGGTGCTTCTTTTGGGTAAGATGGAACGTGCGATCATACATTCGATTGAATTTATAACCTCGAATAGGTGAATTCATCTCCAACGCCGATGGGACATTAGTGATCGCGGCCGCAGGTCGCATCTCATCTGAGTTCAATCGACTCCGCGATGCCAGTTGGCTGTCGACGGGGTACACGTTGGGTCTCTGTGCGGCCCAACCGATGGTGAGCTCCAAGTCATTAAAAAGAGAGTAAAGGAAGTCCGCTAATGCGCGTCCAGTATGGCAAATTGAGCGATATCTACGGTCGCAAACGGCTGCTGTTGGTGTCATATTTCTTATTCGCAGTCGGATGCATTCTCAGGTATCTCATTTTCCCCTTCGCAATAACTTGGTACTAACTGGATGTAGTGGTGTGGCCTCCCAGATGGGAATGGTGATTCTGGGGCGGGCGATCAGCGGCATGGGGGGTGCAGGCACCATGACGATCAGCTCGATCATCATCACCGACATTGTGCCCAAGCGTGAGGTGGCCACTTGGCGGGCCTATGTCAATATTGCAATGACTCTGGGTCGTAGTCTGGGAGGTCCAGTTGGAGGATGGTTGAGCGACACCATCGGGTGGAGATGGTAAGTTCCTTCTCGAAAACATCTCCGAGAACAACTCCTAATTACTGCCCAGGCTCTTCCTTCTCCAAGCTCCATTGCTTGCCTTGGCAGCTCTTCTGGTGATAATCAAACTAGATGTTGCTGAGCAAATCGAAAAAGAAAACAAATTGGGCAAAATCGACTTCCTCGGGACTGCCCTGTTAGGATCGTCCATCGTGGCCCTGACCCTTCTCGTCGACCAGGGAGGTAAATCCTTCCCCTGGAACTCATTATGGTCGGCGCTCTTTGCAGGAGGCGGAGTGCTACTTCTAGTGGCATTTGTGTTGGTCGAAGCCTACGTTGCGCGCGAACCCATCTTCAACCTCCGCATCTTGCGTCGCCCCAATGTCGCCGCTGCCTACCTCATCGGGGCACTGCAGATCACCGCGCAACTGGGCATGTTGTTCTCGGTCCCGTTGTACTTCCAGGTGACGCAGCGCGCATCCACCACAGCCGCAGGCGGACACATGATTCCCGCTGTGGTTGGAAATACCCTGGGTGGACTCCTTGCTGGAATCTTCATTCGTCGGACCGGTCAATTCAAGGCTCTCCTCATTCTGGCAGGTCTGATTGCATCCATCTCCTACGCTCTGCTGTACCTTCGCTGGAATGGTGATACAGGATTCTGGGAATCACTATTCATCCTCCCGGGAGGCCTGGGCACAGGCGTTGCCTCAGCCTCCGCCTTCGTCGCGATGACAGCCATGCTTCCCGCCGAAGAAGTTGCAATGGCCACAGCAGGCTTCATGTTGCTGGTTGGACTCTCTATGACAGCCGGAGTTACTACGTCTAACTCCGTGCTGGGAATGGAGTTCCAAGCACAACTCAAGAAGAATCTGCACGGCCCTGGCTCTGATACTATCATCCGACGTGCTATGGCAGACACGGGCTACATTGCGAACTTGAGTGGTCGTATCCGGGAGATTGTGGTTGCTTGTTATGTGGCAGGATTGAAGCATACATATTGTAAGTGCGGTGGTCTACTTCTTTGATTGGAACTGACATTCTACTAGTGGTTTCTCTTGCTTGCTCGCTGCTGGCTTCGTTGACGGGTCTATTTGTTGTGCATCATCAACTATAGGTCTGATTATGAAATGCTGACATGAATGGACGTATCTTTTTACCTTTCGTTGTAGATATACAAACATGATACATCTAGCCTAGGTATCTTAGAGCTCACTCTAGATGAATTGGTTTCAAATGTTGAAGCGTTGATATTTTCGGGATCTTCCTTCAATTCTCAGGTAGAAAGCAAACCAGAGGCGTTACCTGTAGATATGCCCAACGGAATATCCATATGTTGCATCACTGCGCATGTCTCTACCTGCTGAAAGATGCCGGGACAGCAAACACGAAGACTGTGTTACCTCCATCTCGACGAATCCACGATTAGTTTGTGTGCTACCTCACCCGGGCATCTTTGATACGCTCAGCCGTCCGTGCTGCTTCTTTTCCACTTCCCAAGATAGGTCATTGCACAGCCACCTTTCGCTTCTGACTGCCCCTGACCCCTGCCGAGATTGCTACCTGCTTTGTGAAACCACAGTAGGCCTTGGACCGTGACGTTGACATCTCAAACGGATTCGCGTTCACGCCGCGCGGTCCTATACAGATCCAACCCGAGCTCCAACCAGCCCTAGAGGAACTTTATATTCGATCACTTGATCTTTCTAGCCTGGAAAACGCAAGCACAATACGTCTCTGTCCCGTTTAGGCTACTAGCCACTTCCAAAAAGAGCATCTTTCCAATCCTCTTTTCAATCCTCTCCAAAGACGTGTTACATCGCTCGCGATTTCCACCACCAATTGAGTCAGAGTCTTCGAGAAACGATTGTGCACGTCTGAGAGTGACGCCAATACAATACAAAAACCGAGACCGCACTGATTCTAAAGCTCAAGTCTTTCCCTCACAAGTTTTGATGAAGCCCATGATGATTTGGAAGATGTTCCAGGGTTATTCCCTCGAGGATCCTTCCAGAGCCACGTGAGGTATGATCACGAAGGCACAGAGCGGCCAGGTCAGATGATGCTCAAGTGCCCAACATGCCTGGTTTCTGTCTGATTCCTGCTTTCTTGGGCTTCTGGTGGGTGTAGAGCTGACCCCTGAATAGCCAATACATAGACTATGCCAAATGATACCATGCCAAATCAACTCTTCGTCTTTGGATAAGAAGAAGAAAAAAAGAAAAAAAGAACGCCCGATCCTGGATTCGAACAAGGGGTCTCTGGAGGACGCGCCAACACCTTCGGGGAACCTGGCCGCTCTGCCTCTTCGTACTTAGTAGTATGAAATCCAGGACCAGCGTGCCGACAATGAACATGACTAGATCGACCCTATTCACAGGGCCTAAGTACTACATGCTCTGGAGGGGCATATGAGTTTAGATTTAGTCATACAATTAACTTTAGAAGTACCTTGATATTCCGGAATGATGGGTATACTAAGCATTGTCCCTGGCAGGAATCTGGTGGTGCCAAGGCTGCAGCTGAGCCCTGGAGGGCATCGCTACCAACCACCCTTTGAGCATTTCGAAGACCAAATCCTATACTTCTAAGTTACTAGAGACTCCAGGGCTGGAAGCTTCCCGGGGTCTTCTTGTTAATTTCAAATAATTCCTACTTAAGTAAGTTGTGTCCATAAACCTTAGACGCGTAAGATATCGTATTTCCCACCCAATATATATCTCAGATTTTCAGTCACACCACGATTTTTCATTTTCCTGTCCCGATCGAATCGATAAATGGGTCGTATTTGGCCAACTATCACTACAATCACCCACTGAAGTCACTGGATTATACGAGATGAGTCTGATACTGGGCTTAACGGTGTGACAGGGTAGCCTAAGCGCAGCCAGGTTGAGGTCCCGCTGAGCCCTGGAGTTTACGTATTCACCCACCTGAACATGCCTCATAAGTACCAGCTCTAGAAACTGCAAGGCCGGGACAATGAATGTGTAAACGGAAGAGCCTTTCAAGAAATCTGTCCCATAGTCAGATATTGTCAGCGTCATCCAAAGGATGCGTGGCATGCCTGAGGTAGGGCGGCCTGACGATATATAAAATAGCTCCTCCATGCTGCTGATTGAGAACTTGAATATCAGCTTTGCTTAAGTATTCATCTATTCAATTATCAAGAATCGAAAAAGATTCGAAACTATGCGATTTATCGTACCGTCTGTCGTGGTGCTCGCCACTTCCGCTACCGGTGAGCCCTCCAGGGATCAATCATCAACCTTGGAAATGACAGGTTGACTGACCATGACAGCCCTGAAGGTTAGCGTTGGAACTAATTGTCTCGACGTTTCCAAGGATTTCTGGATCACTTGGGATGCCATTGGGTAAATCGAATACTTCAGCGTAATGAAAACTAGTATACTAATCTAGCTTTAGAGATGTTGGCCCTGAACTCAGCTTTGACATGTGGAACCAGGAAGGGGGGCACGATGAAGTCATGGATCCGCTCCCAATTGGTGACCCGAAGCCTTTCAACACGTCTGACAAGCGAGCCCTGATTCCTGCTGTGCCGGCCGCAAAGGCCGACCAATATCGTCATAATAGAGGCGGGTACGTACTTGTCACGCTCACGGGTATCGATTAAGTGAAATGCTCACACGTGTTGATGGATATGCAGGCCTACTGGATTCACAATTCGGGTTATTGACCCGCAGACCTACAGCGACCCATTCACCATTGCGGGTGCAGACGGAAGGTGCTAGGTACTCGGTGCCCCGAGGTCTTGATGTCCGCAGCGTGGACTCAAGAGATCTGTCAGATTTCCTTGTGTGGTCTGAGCAGTGATGACCGGACGAGCACGAGCGATAGGGGAGTGATGACTGATCAGTATGAGATGTGTAAATAAGGGCGCCTGTACGGGGTAGAAGATGTTGTCTTCGTTTAGATCACAAATCAATCCTCAGGGTTCCCGTTAGATCATCTTGCTTGTCAGTATTTGGAGCAGCACGTAAGGGTCCAGTATCTCGTCGAGTTGGTGATGTTGATTCATCTGTCGTAGCGCTCTTGAAAAGCAACTTGCTTTGTGTATGGGGTATGACGAGACACGTAGGGCCCCCGGTGGTGATTATCTGAATAGGCCACGATGAGTCGATGAATGAGCTGTGATGATGCTTAAACCGGCAGAGTGTGAATGGAGAGCAGACACCAGCTTGATAGGGATGTTACAGATGCCTCGTCCTACGACCGCGTAGTGGATCGGCCAGATTGCTACTTGGTCTTCGTGTCTCTGGCCCAAAAAGAAAAAAAGTGAAGTTGTACTTGAAGTAGAATGTCATTGACAGCATTGTGACATAGAAATGCCAGGTGTTCATTGTTGGTATTGAAAACTCCGAATAGGGGTGAGTCGAAGCAGCCTCGTTTCATTCGCTAGTCAAAATCACGGAGTAAGTCATCCAGAGTGGCTCGGGCCTTTTTGATATCAGGAGCTTCGTCCTCCCAGTAGTCCAAGGCTTCAAGTGTTGGAGTCAAGTGGCTTCGCAGTCCATCTGGATGAATGTTTGGGAGGCTGACGTTTCCACTTCGCGCCAACGCAATGAACACAAGGGAGGCAGTGACGAGAGCGCGCAGATCAAACCAAATGCCATGGTGGCGGTGCCGAAGACACCGCGCCTGGAGGATCTTCATGCAGCAATTCAGACCAGACTCCACGAAGCCTTGAACAATATTGTATTCATCATCGGTTAGCGAAGCAGGCTCTGTATCCGTGCTCGCGCGGTGCACGGCAAAATACAGAAATGGTTGATAAAGCCACAGACGGATCTCGAGGAATCGATTGCTCACTGCCCAGCTAAGCTCGAGAGATATCGATTCACGGAGATCGGCCGTGTTTCCTTGCCTCGAGCCCGCAAAGCCCGAATCAGCTTCGTAGAACCGCATCGCCGGAGGAAGGTTTGCTAGCCAGGCATTGATTTGAGATTCGAACTCAAAGGCTATTGAGATGAAAGGTTTGATGTTTGACCATGCGGAGGGCTCTTCACGATAGAATGCGTTCAGGACGCGGTTGCCTATGCGCCTCAGCGCGACTTCTGTAAGGTAATAGTACCAGCTTTGTTGCTCATCAAATAAATTCGTGATGTGGTTGTAGATCCCTCTCGGGGGGATGTTGGATCGCTCCGTATTTAGTGACCAAGGTGCTGCGCCAGGATCCGTCCCATCGCCTTGGTCATCTCCACTATTGGGGTAGTTATCTGGCAGAGTAGGTGGAGTCGGGAAAAGAGCTGGATACTCATATTCCGCGATTGCGGATTGAGGTAACGGCAGTTCAACTCGAATCTCGACTTCCGATTTGAAGCATGACCAATAAAGGCTTTGCTCCAGGCGGCGAGCAACCGAGGCTTCTTGATGATCGGCCTCGTACTCGTACGCTGAATCGTCGAGCCCATGGATAAGTCTCAATCGCAGCCGATAAAATGTGGATGCTTGGTAGAAATGATTCCATGCGGAAAGTGGACGGAATGTGTACATCAGATACACTAAAAGAAGCATGACTTATCAGCTTGTGATCAATGTTACGACAGAAAACCTGAAGCCACAAACCTCCCGCAAAAAAGTGACATTGTGCACCAATCACTGAGTATCGCAAGAGCCCTATTCTCCTGCACGCCAGAGTGAAAAAGGCCTCGCCTTCCCGCAGTTGAGTAGCTGAGGTAGATTTGGGAATCCCTGCGGTTTGCTCCGATGGATCTGGAAACGGGCTCGCCGTATGAGGCCCCTGAGTAGACAATGTGAAAGGCTGTGAGATAGAACCCAGCGCACAGGTCAAAAGCACGAGACATGATTGTGCATCCCATTGCAATCCGATCTCCGCAGCATGCCTCCCGGAGCGTATCAACGCCTCGAGGTCTAGTATCGGATTCTTGGTGTGGACATTTTGGATGAACCGATCTACTAGAGTCGGGATCTGCTCATCGGGAGTGAACCGAAGACCATCCGGAACAGCCCATGCGTCACCTGCTCGTTCTTCAGCCGCTCCATGTGAGTACTGGAACAATGTGGTTATCAAAAAGCTTTCTCGAAACCGGCCTCCGAAGATAGGCCATGTCAGCACTGTGTCGGCGCTGCACCGAGAGGCTGGAATCTGCAAGTAGTCCCTCTGCCACTCCGTCGCTCTGACAGGAATGCTCACTGGGCGAGGAGGTCGGTCCTCATGTGATACAGGCTTTGGCTGAGAGGTGTCTATGACAGTCATTTTTCATCCATAGGCAAAAGGTAGGCTTGCCATACGTTGTGAAGTGAGAAAGTGTTGGATACTTTCAACTGTCTGCGACAGAGTGTCTAGTCGCTCCATGACCTTCCCGAGGTCTCTGGTCGTCAAAGCCAACCGTCAACGACTGTTTCATGTCATGCAGGTGTATACATACTGCTTGTTTCCATCATCCCCACGGGAAGGATAGACACATTGAGATCCATTAGTAGAGCAGAATCCACAAGTCGGCCGGCTGTTGTCACAGCGAACCTTGCGCCGGCGACATGTTTGGCAAGCCGGTTTCCGGGGAACGGGCGCTGTTTTGATTCTCTTAATGGGCGGAGGCTGCTCTTCCTGGTGATCTTCTGATCTAGAGGAAGTGTATTCCAGCTCTGGATCCATCCTGTGTTATTGGATCACGCTCGGGCGGTATGCTTGATTCACAAGTGTACTGGGAGTTCGCCCAACCCCAAATAAGTAGATAGCTCTCGCTCCTCAGCTTCCTCCCTCTCTCTTCTTCTCTCTCCCCGCGCAGAGAATAATTCAATCGGTGCTTCTTCCGCTTTCTCTCGCCGTGCCTTCTCAACAAGTCTTGGGAATTGATGGGTCATTTCCAATGTCATGCCTGACTGGTAGAACAAGACAAGCACGAGCCAATTGTCGTTTACTCCGCGGGAAATGCGAGGCAGTGGCAAGGCGGTGAAGAAGAAAGCGGAAACAAACGCCAAAAGCCGGCAAAAAAGCATCACAAACATCACAAACAGAGTAAACAGAGTAAACAGAGTAAACAGAGTAAACAGAGTAAACAGAGTAAACAGAGTAAACAGAGTAAACAGAGTAAACAGAGTAAACAGAGTAAACAGAGTAAACAGAGTAAACAGAGTAAACAGAGTAAACAGAGTAAACAGAGTAAACAGAGTAAACAGAGTAAATACATATGAATAGGGAAAGCGCTGAGAAGTGACTGGCTCCTCCCCCCACCCAACTCTCCTCCTTCCAATTGCACTCATTCATCATCTCCTTTGCAAGGCTTCTAACGACCCATCTTCAAGCGGTCCACATCATTCCATTTGCACTTGGATCCTTTGACGCCAGTAACGGCGAGGCAGTGGATACACATACGAAGATTTGGGTCAACCTAAGATGCTACTTTCCAGTTCTTCGCAACATGTCCTGATGCTAGACTCCCAACTGTTGAGATCTATCGGCAAAAAGAAAGGAACGGAGAGAACCGATTGAATTCACTGCGCTCAGAGAGAGAGAGAGAGAGAGAGAGACATCAACGGAAACGCAGAAATGCAAACCGCACTGGCAAATCTCCTGCAGAAGAGGACGGACTTGGCCCAGCCTCTAAAAGCAAAGATCAAGTGTGACACTGCTTTCCAAAACTAGTGAGTTTCCATCCTGAAGTCATGCAATGACTGAGAGGTGGATATAGAAGAAGAAGAGAGAGAGCCGGGAGAGGATCTATCTACACATGGGGGCTGGGACGAACTCCCTCTAAACAAAAACCAAGGAATTCCTGCGTGACTTCTTCAAGATCCTTCCTCCTGACGGAGAAACAAATCTGGCGGGGACGTTTCAGAGTGTGCAAACGATGAGACGCTTCGACAACTGGTCCAAAGCATCAGAAATGGATTATTGATTCCTATGAAAGCAGAGGGTGGCAAAACACCCACTGAAATCACTCCGTCTCCGCGTTCTGGGGTTGAAGATTCAATCGAGAGTCTCATGAGCCAAGACATCGAGCCCATCACTAGAAGCGATCAGTTGCGACCCCGGGACCACTGTTTACAACGAGATGGCTACAAATGTCTTGCAACGGGGTTTTACAGTTACCCGGACCCCCATCCACCGAACGCAATAACGACCCATCTTGAAGCGGCCCACATCATTCCATTTGCACTTGGAGACTTTGACGCCAATAACCGCGACTCAGTGGACAAACATTCGACGATTTGGGTCAACCTAAACCGCTATTTCCCAGTTCTTCGCAATATGTCCTTCACCTCAGAACAGATCGATGAGGAAAATTGACGGTTGGCTTTGACGACCAGAGCCCTCGGGAAGGTCATGGAGCGACTAGACGCTCTGTCGCAGACAGTTGAAAGTATCCAACACTTTCTGGGAACTATCTGCATGTGGGGGTTGGGGCGAATACCCTACACAACACCAACTTCACACGGAATTCGGTCAATTCAGACTCATTTTTGAAGCAACCAGAATTTCTCACCAATATCGATTCAAGACCTTTCCAGATACCGCCACAGGGTCAATACGAGTTTTACCTAAAAATCGGCTTATCAAGTTCAAAGTTCACAAAGGAAGTTGGGAAATTCCTGTTGGGCCTCCAGGGCAGAAGAAGAAGCTGACTGAACCGATTGATTGACTGCAAGGAAAGAGAGAGAGGAAGAAGAGAGAGAGACTGGGAGAAGAGGGTCTATCTCCAAACAGCAAACGAGGGTTGGGACGAATCTCCCACACAACACTTCCAGATCCTGAACTTTTCGAAATCCACGCTTGTATTGGAAACTTTCTACATATGAGTGGCCAGGCAGAGATAATCGACAAGGTCCTGAAAGATTTTGAAGGCTTTGGTGGGCTTGCCCCGAGTGAAAGCACCAACATCGAAGACCTTCTTACGGTGAGCGGCCTCTCACTACTACCCTCGAATGCCAACGAAACGCCCGATTCCCAAAAGTCTGCAGAGAAGCAACGCCCTCCGGAGAATCAAGGACGCCCACGGGCAACAATTTGTGACACTAAGAATAAACAATGGACATACTAAGTTGGATAATCGGGAAAGCGGCTCTCACGGTCGCAGTTACAGGTTAGGTCAAGTGATGGACCGGACCACTATCCTTAGCTAGCTTCTTAGTGAACTCATCAACAGAGATCCAGTCTGATTGCTTCGGCTGTCCTCGTTTTCGGTAACAGTCGCATGGCATTTAGAATAATCATGAACAGCTTTGGCTTTCTGTATCTCTCTTTGTTATTAGAACCAAATATCACTACACTCTTATGTGAAATTCGTTCAACTTTTCAGTCACAGTCCACTTTCTTCATTTTGTGCTCTCAATAGCGTCTCCTACTAATTCCACCAAGCTTGAACCCAAAATGGAAGCATCTCTGCTTTGACGATTGAGTAACTCAGGACCGCTCAGTAAGCAGCTTTGGGTCGCTCGGCGGGCAGCTGAGGGCGACCCGCGAAGGACTAAATACAGTAAAGATAGTCCTTATGTATATAGTCCTTTACGGAAACGCCAAGACAGAATTTTAAATACATAAAACACGACTGATCAAATCACCTGGGCAAGATCACAGACTTTATAGCCTGGGCTACTCCTGCGCAGGAATGATCTTCAACTCTTCAACAAGATCAGTGGGCTCTTGGCAGACCTGCTGGAAGATCAAATCAAATGTAGAAAGCATGCGAAGCATATCCCCCTTTGAGATGAGGTTCTCGTCAAAGCAGGCCATGATCTCGATAGAATTTGCCTGAAGATGACAGTGCATTGTTAGTCCGCGTACATGGAACGCCCCGGTCTGAGGAAGCAGCTCTTCCTCAAACCACAACGAAGAAGGAGCTTGCTCTATGTGTGGCTGAACAATCATCAGTGTCTGCAGCGCAGCCGGGGAAGTTGGGCCTGTCGCAGCGCGACAGAGATTCCGAGTACCGTAGTGCTCGTGGGGCAAAATCTTGACATAGTGGCTTTGAGAATCATGAAGCGCGTCAATGACTCGCTGTTTTGCGTCGATATGGGTCCGATAAGGGAAGATGGCCATTGTTGGCGCGACCAATCTTTCGATTCCTGCAACTTGAGTGCCTCGCCCAGCTGTGCCGACTGCCATTGTTACTTCGGGGACGCTGGTTTGGAGTGATATAACCCGAGACCACACCCAACGGATCTTGGTTGACAGTGTGATCTGCGGAGATGCGACCTTCGGAATACTGACATGGTGAATCAGAGTTGTAGCTGGGTCGGGGGCATAGCCCGGATCAACATGAGGGAAGATTGGGCTCCGAAGATCCTTCAGCTCCGAAGTCCAGAATTGCTTAGTCTCCTCGTTGGTCCGACCGAGATGCCCAATGAACGGGGAGACAGGCAGATGCTGCAAGGAAACGCCAGTGTATGCCCGCTCGAGCTCTTGCATGAACAATACCCGAGACCATCCATCGTAGATGGAGTGTTGCAAGGTAACGAAAAGTCGGTGATGCTGTAGCGGAGATGACCTGCGCACTACAGCGATTCGAAGAAGTGAATTGCCTGGCTCAGCTTCGATTGGCAAGTCGGGAACATAATCTGGCTCATCCGAATCGTAGAACTCAAATTGAGCTCCACGACTGAGTACCACCTGATGGTAAATGTCTTTTCCATCAAGTTGAATGACTCGGGTTCGCAACATCGGGTGTGCCTTTTTGGTCTCATTCCAGGCAGTTTGCAGTCTATCAATATCTGTACCTGGTCTGAGATCATACGCAAACCGTACAACCAGGGTGCCATGCTTCCGGGTATTGCTGAGGACAAAAAAGCCATGTTGAAGTGGTGAGCAGGGGTAGATATCTTCAACTTCTTCATCCTCCACGGCGCACTGTTTGATCGCTTGCTGGATTACCGCATCAGGGGATTCTGCATCATTCTCAAGGAGAGAGAATGGCGGGGGGACTTTTTGAACATTTGATAGATGTGCACGGTTGACTTTGGTGGCCATATTCTCCAAGCGAGGATGCGAAAAGATGTCTGCGACAGTGAGATGGCAACCCTGCTCTCGCAAACTTCCCACCAACATCATGGCTGCAACCGAATCACCCCCACGATGGAAGAAATTATCCTCAAGACCGATATCTGCCTCTGAAAGACCTATAGCTCCAGCAACGGCAGAGCACAAAATGACTTCCATTTCAGTCGTCGGCATCTTCCGTGGAGCTGTCACTGTGTTGGCGTGACCAGCCCAGCGCTCATGGAGCCCAGAGTTAACTATCTGACGCAGCTGGCCACGATCAGCCTTACCACTCCGTGACTTTGGAATCCGAACGAGCGGCAAATAAATGCTGGGCTCCATGTAGCTTGGAAGAGCATCGGCCATCATGGCCCTCGCTTGTGTGACTGCCCGATCAAAGGCATCGCTGGGAGGATGGAACAAATCAAGATCGGTGTTATCACCAACAGTTGCCGATGACGAGGTAGAACTTGATTCGGCATCCCAGGAGGGTTGATGAATGAACGCAACCAAAGCTGCTGTTTTGCCTTGGTTCAAATATGCGACCTCGGCAATGACATCCAAGGCGTCGACAAAGGAATGACGAAGCTGTGCCTCGACTTCACCTAGCTCAAGACGCTGTCCACGGAGCTTGACCTGGAAGTCCTTGCGTCCCTTGTAATGCATCGAGCCATCTGCAGCGTACTGAACCAGGTCTCCAGTCTTGTACAATCGCTCACCCTCTGATGCATCTGGCTTGAATTGTAAGAACCAGGCAGGCGGCGGAACAAATGCTGCAGCAGTCTGTTCAGGGCGGTTGAGGTAGCCACGACCAACGATAGGTCCTTGGATGAGTAGCTCACCAACGGCTCCCATGGGAAGCAACCTGTGATGGTCGCTAGGATCAACCACCCACGCAGTAGCACTCGACAACGGATATCCAATATTGGAAGAATATGAATCCGGCTTGAGAGGACTCTGGACCGTTGAACTAATTGTACACTCTGCGGGACCGTACATGTTGACGAACTTGATGTGAGGTGCTGCGGTCGTCCATCGCTGGATGTCAAAAGACGAGACAGCCTCTCCAATGACCTTCAATGTTCTCAGGGATGTTAAGCGCTCGGGATGTACCATTCGACTAACTGTTGGAGTGAGAACAACGAGATCCACCGAGAATTCGTTCAAAGTTTCCGTTAGACGATTTTGTCTATCCTCAGCAGATGGAATGCATAGACAGCAGCCAGCCATGAGAGAGACGGCAAGATCCAAGACACTCACATCAAACGCATGCGAGGAGTACTGAAGCATTCTTGTGTCTTTGTTCATTGGCAAATGCTCTCTCATCGCAGCCGCACTAGTGCATAGAGACCGGTGGGAGATCGACACACCCTTTGGTTTTCCGGTGGAACCAGAATTAAAGACCGCATATGCCGCATTGCTTGGGTGAATTTCCACCTTGGGGGTTGCCGACCTCCGAATCTCCAACCGGTGGCGGATGCTCGTTACCAGCGACAACAAGATTACTGACAAGAGGAGCGACAGTATCATGGTAATTTGGCGACAGCACAATTGTGTTAGCCTTCAAGTCAGCACAGATATCTTGAAGTCGCTGGATTGGCTGCGTGGGGTCGAGGAGAACAAAAGCACCCCCGGCCTTGAGAATGGCAAGTAGAGCGATTGGCACCCAGCGACTCTTGTCCATCAAAACTGGGACAAAAGAGTCAGGCACAACACCATTTGACTGTAGCTGGTGTGCTAGGGACGATGAAACAAGATCCAATTCACCGTAAGTCCATTCTCCATCCCAAGCACAGACAGCTGGTGCTGTAGGCTGGCTCTGACACTGTTGTAGAATGATATCATGAACGCAACTCTCAATAGCGGGGTTCGCGATGCTTCTGTTCAACTGCGCAATGGTGGCTAGATCCTTCTCGGGAACCAATGCCAGTTCTCCCAATGCGCGACCCGAGCCTGTGAGAATAGTCCTCATAAAGTGACCGAAGATTGTCGCCACTCGCTCCATTGTTTGCAGTGGGATAATGCTAGTGTATGCCTTGATGGTTGATTTGATCTCATTTTCTGACTCCATGATCTCGAGGAAAAGATCAAAGTCAGTGGGGTCTTGACGTCCTACCTCATGAAGATGTATCGGAAGGTCTTCGGCTTCATTGGATGTGGTAGCAGGGAAATGACTGACACAAGTGTTAAACATGACATCGTCAGTGCCAAAGTTCAAAGCCTGGCGAATGTCGCTCAGAGAGACTCCCTTGTGGGGCAGAGTAGAGACGAAATCCGCTTGGATTGATTTCAAGACCTGTGCCACCGTGGATTTCGGATCAAGTCGCTGGCGAAACACCAACAAGTCGATCAGAGGCCCAACACCATCTAAAATGCCATCAACAGGTGCGTCACGGCTCGTGGTCAGATATCCGAAACACACATCATCCGTGCGGCACATGATGTGCAGCATAAGAGACCACGAAAGCTTGACGAAGCTCGCTACGGTTGCGCCGGTTTCCTGGGCAAGCTTTCGATAGTCTGCAGCCGAGCCAACGTCCGCAGAGACTGCCACGAACCGGGGTGTCTGGTCGACATCGTCCGACTCGTTTGACGAGCTAGTACCGGCTGTTGGGAACTGACTTGGCTCAACACCATCAAGGTAATGCTTCCAGTATGATAAAGAGATCTCTGTAGATGTTCCCTGCTGGGACTTCGCGTGGTCGACAAAGTTGAAAACAGAAAGAGACGGGTTCGCGTCACTGTAAAGATTGCAAAGGTCTCTGACTATAAGTGACATGGACATGCCATCAACAACTGCATGGGACAGCTCAAATTCCATCATGATGCGCCCAGATGGGGTGACGTGCAGGTCAAGTCGAGGCAACATGCTTGGTGGCTGGCATTCCTTGCGCTGCTCAAAGATGTCGGTCGGGCTGGAGTCCTCATTCATCTCTTCGACCTGTGGCACGTAACTTTTTTTCAACTGAACCTGAACCGCAAATACACTGGATGTCACATTTGTCATGAAGATTGTTCGTAAAATAGGGTGTGCATCAACCAGTAACCGCCATGCCGTTTGAAGTCGGCCAATGTCAACGTTCGACGACATTCCGGAGGGCTGGGCCTCATACAGCACTCGCAACGCATAGTGCTGTGGGTTTTTTAGCTGGCTCATCAAGATACCATCCTGCATCGGAGAGCATGGGTTCATCGCTTCCACTTCCTCAATAGTGACACCAAGATCGATCAATTGATCAGTCACAGCAGCGGTGGGGACTTCGACGTGTCGTTCATCTTGCGCGGCTAAAGGCTCTGGCAAGCAATCGGCCATCTGCGCGAGCTGGGCAACACTGCCAGATTCCAGAATCTTAGCAACATCGACAGATAGCCCACTCTTTCGGCAAAGCTGAACGAGAATCATAGCTTTGATTGAGTCTCCACCCAATCGGAGAAAGTTGTCGTGGATTCCAAATGAGTCTTCGCCACGCTTCAATACCTCGGAAAACAGTTTGTGCAGAGAAATCTCCACCTCAGTCTGAGGACGGAGTTGTGGCTTAACAGCGACGTCATGGTAGGCTTCAACCTGTTGTCTTGTCATGCCAGCAACCTCCAACTTCAGAGTTTGACGGTTGGTTTTTCCAGACGCAGTCTTGGGGATGCGAGTGAGTGGGATGTACATATTGGGTACCATGAAATCAGGCAATGCTGCGCGGACCAGAAGGTCAAGACGCGAGGCCTCTTCTTGGAAATTAGAACTTGGTTGTCCCAGAGGAGAAGGGGAATCGGGCATTTGGTTCCCAGAGAGAGAGATGAAAGCGATCAACAAAGGTGCACCGTCCCCGTCTAGGGGGGCTGCTGCATCCACGATCACCGTATCACCGAGCGACAGATGGAGACGAATTAGGCCTTCAATCTCCCCCAGCTCGATTCTTTTCCCACGGATCTTAACTTGCATATCTTTGCGGCCAACATATATGATGGAGCCATCGGCATGATATCGAGCTAGATCACCCGTTCTTAAAACCCGCCGACCGGATTTAGGGCACATTTTAGGAAGCCATTCGGGGGCGTCAATGAAACTGATAGCCGTTTTCTGCGGATCATCAAGATATCCAAGGGAAATATTTGGCCCGTCGATCAGCATTTCTCCATTGCACCCACTGGGGAAAGTCGATTGATGTTCATTGGGTCTGCGAGCCATATGTTTGGTGTAGCAGAGTGACCGATATTTTGAGAATGCATGCCTGCCTTGAGCGGAGCGATACATGTAGCTCCCGCATTCTCAGAGAGGCCGTAGGCTGACATGAGATCCACAGAAGATGCCCACTTTTTCAGAAGAGCACCGCTCAAAGGCTCGCCGGTCACAACCATATTTTGCAGACCTGACAAATCCGTAGGATCCAAGGTGCTAATCGCGGACGGGGTCATGATGGTCCAGGTCGCCCGAAACTTTTTGACTGAAGCTGCCATGTCGTTCATCATGTCATATTTGGAGGCTAAGCAGACGGTTGCTCCGACGAGCAGAGGTATAATCGTATCAGCAATAGCCGCAGCAAAGACGATCGGAGCAACTTGAAGTACTCGGCTGGAGCGGTCAATGCGGAACGATGGAGCCTGGTTGATCATAGCACCCAGAGTTCTGTTTGTGTGGACGCAACCTTTGGGTCGTCCTGTGCTTCCGGAGGTGAAGAGGATATATGCCGTGCGATCTAGGTCTGATGCAGGAAGAGGATTGTCACCTTCATCAGTTGATAGGTTGTTGGTAAAAGAAGAATCTAGCCCTAAGGCTCGGACCTGGAGATCCTCAAACACCTTGGTATCTTCCGGCAGACAGATAGCAAGAGGAGGACGAGTCACATCGATGATTGCCTGCATGCGCTCTACGGGGTATGCAGCACTGACAGGAACAAAGGTCGCGCCTGCTTTGAGGATCGATAAGATAGCGACAACTGCATACATCGACTTCTCCACGGCGAACAATATTTTATCGTTCTGCACAATGCCCATCTCCCGTAGACGAAGTGCCACCTGAGTGGTCATTTTATCCAGTTGTGCGTACGTGAGTGACCCGTTCCATCCACAAACCGCTTCATGGGTTGGTTGCTGCAATGCATATTGTCGGACTAGATCAACCAGTGGGATCGTGTCACGGAGGACGATTCGATTGTTCCATTCCGCAATCTGACTAGCATTGCGCTCACTGAACAGATCCAGGTCTTTGATTGATTGGTTTGGGCATTTGAGAATCTCCTGGATGATCTGTTCGGCCAACGAAACGAGGTTTTCGACGTGCGACGAGGCGACATCTGGCGAATACAGCAGCCATAACTCCGAAGAAGTGGTGTTTGCAAATAAAAGAACCTGTAATGGAGGCATAGGTTGGATATCAACATCTTGCATGTCAACTACAACCCCAGTATTACAAGGGAGATGGCCTTGACCAATCTCCGTCAAGGCTGCTGGATGATCCAGTAGATCGGTGATGGAGGTTTGAGGCTCCATTGACACATCGCGTATGGTTGTGAATTCTCCGGGAGGTTTGTTTTCCTGGTAAACAAAGCTCACACCTTCAGATGTGGTGAATTTGTTGAGGAGAATTGCCCAAACGGTGCTGTAAAAGGTGGAGGTTTTCCGATTCTGCTGGCAGTCGGAATTCACATCTTGCTTGATTGGAGACCGTTGCCATTGGCCCTCTTTGTAAGAACTGTCCAGGTCGAGAAAAGTCATGATGCGATAGAAGGAATAGTAAGGGCAATACGGAGAGTCCACATACACGATGGACAATTCTCACCATTTATAAACACCTCTAAAATGCGAAAAAGGATAGGGTCATGACCCACCCTTTTTTTTGGAACTGGGTTTGGAGCAGAATGAAGACAACATGGAAATATTGCATAGTTATAAGCCAGGTTTTTACATCCATGCAGTGCAGTACCCAGGTGTGGAAAATAACTGTAACTATATCCATATTCAACTGCTATCTTACTTCTGGGCCTACTCTCTTTCTACAGAAGAAATTCAACTCTGTGTAAGTACATACAATGACATCATATGTAATACGTCCCGACAGGGGGTTTCCACCAGGTTTCCTCGAAATTCCATACTAATTCGTAAAGTTCTGTAGAACTGAAGTTCAGTGGAGAATACAGATCTTGGACAAGAGATCGGTAGCCTAAATCGGAAATGATCGACTTCAAAACTCGATAATTCTTCGGATTTGCTGATCCGCGATCGACATCAGCTTTCATGGTACACACTACTTGTGACGCGGCGGGCTTCTGAGGAAGGTCTATTCACTAAAGGAGACTAAAGCTAGAGAAAGAAGGGAGGAAGGGAACTACTGAGAGAATTTGGGAGGGTTGGGTTCCCGGGTTTGGGTGTGGATGCCTTACCCTCTAGGCACCCAACCCCCCGATTCTCACACTACCCCTGCCCTAGACCTGAGCTTAGCCTTTGAGCTCTGTTAGATCAACCGTTTTAGGAAATAGATGTTGGTTCTCTTTGGATCGCTCAATTGTTTTTTTCGCTTAATTAATTCCTTTATCGCATCTCTCACTTAATAAGGGATTTCATAATTTTGGTGTTAGATTTAACTAGTTGGTTATTCTCAAAATAGTCTTTTATTTCTTTATTATTTAAAGTCTTTTTTATTTAATAATTTAATTGTAGTGGCAATCTTAGTTTTTTAAAGTATTCTCTATAGAATTCTATTACTTTCTATAATGTATAATATATATTCTTTGTGGAATACTATATATTATTAGGATTATTGTTTTTAAATTATATTTTGTATTATAATCTGTTATAATATAATTATATATTTAAAATATATTTTATATTGTATTTGTTTTTTTTATTAATCTTTATAAATAGAAATAGATCAATATATTAATCGATTAATATTTTTTGTTTTAGATTATTTGTTAATTATAGTTTTTTTAATATAAAGATTAGATAAATATTGTATTTTAAAAGAAGTTTTAGTTTGAAGGAATAGCTGATTTATTTAATAATGTAGAAGGAATTTGTATTACAATTAATAAACTTTTTATTTGGTTGTTTTTGTTTTAATCTTTTTAAAATAAAATAAATATAGTCTTCTATATTATATTTTATTAATTGTTATTTTTTATTAGTTTACTTTTTTTGTTACAACTGGATTATAATTATCTTTTTGTAGATATTATTTTAAATAACTTTTATTTTGTGTATAAAGTCTATTGTAGTAGTTTTGTTCTTTATGATTATTTCTTTTATTAATTTTTAATTAAATAATATTTTAAATTTGTATTTTTATTTTATATAAAATAGAGATCTATTTATTAATATTAATAGAAATAAAACTATTATTAGATTTATTAAAAAGAGTTATTTTGATTAATTATCTTAATAATAGTTAATATATAGCTATAATTGCTATATAATATTTTAATTCACTATTTTTATTTAGTTATTAGTTTGTAAATATTTTATAGTAAAGAGTTTTTTTTTGATCTTTAGAATTTAATAGAATTTTTATTAAAATTCTAATATAAATTATAAATCTTTATTTAATATAATAGAATTAAAAAAGTTTATTTATTTTATAATATAATTAATAAATAATTTTATTATTTTTTTTATAATAATTATTTTATAATAAAGAATAGATATTAGTTATTTTAATAGTTAATAAACTATTACTATTATATTATTAAAATTATATTTGTTAAAAAATAAAAAATAGAAATCTATAGTAATATATTATTAGGGTTTATTTAGAATAAAAAACAATTATAATAGTTTTAATAATATATCTTTAAAGATTTTGGTTTTTTTATAAATTTAATAATAATTATTATATTATTATATATCTTTTGCTATTCTTAGCTAATAGTAATAATTAAATAGAATTTATAGAAGCTTTTATATATTAGAATAGACTATAATAAACTATCCATAGATTTTATTTAATAATTATATTTATAGATTTTTATTATTTACTATTATTAGTTTTTTATTATATAATAAAAGATTATTTCTAAAAATCTAATATTTATTATTATTATATACTTTATTCTAATAATCTTTAAGATTTTTGTTTATAAAGTTTATATATTTAATATAATTAATAATATTTATTATTTATTAGTTAATAATAATTATAAAAAGAGAATCTATTAGTTAATTCTTTTTTTTAATTTAATATTTGTTTGGAAGTAAAATATTTAACTCTAAATCTTTTTTTTTAATAATATCCTTTTTAAAAAGTATATTTATTATTATATTTAGTTTTCTTAGTTAATATTAAATCTTTATTTTGTAGTATTTTAATAATTAGTTCTAATAGATTTATTATATATTAAGTTTTTTTTTTATTTAGAACTATTGTAGCATTTAGTAGTTAGTAAGTATTTAAAAAGAAGTCTTTTATTGTAGGTTTATTAATTTTATTTCCTATTTTTTTAATATATAAATAATTGTAAACAATTCTTTATTATAAATTTTATATTTCTATTCTATAGGATTTATAGTTTTAGATATATAGATTATTAAATACTATTTATTAATATATTTTTATAAGAATACTATATTTATTACCTTATTAGAAATATTAGATTCTAATTTTATTTTTATATTTAGATTATAATATATTAATATAAATATTATTATTAATTATAATTTTAGTTTTTTGAATATTATTTAATATAAAATATTCTAGTCTTATAGAATGGTTTCTTTAATTAAATATACTAATAGTTTTATAATATAATTACAATTTTTGATAAACTTTTTATAGAAGTTATAGAATCTAAAGAAAGATTGTATATTCTTTATTATTATAAGTTTTTTTTAGTTTTAAATGATTTATATCTTTTTTGGATTAACAAAGATTCTTTGAGTTCTTATTAAAAAACTAAAGAATTTGATCTTTTTAATATAGAACTTATATTTGCTAAGATTAATCTATAATCCTATCTTTTACAAATATTTTAAAATCTTTCTAATATATTTAATATATTTTTTTTAATTCTTATTATAAATAAAGATATTATTTATGTATATTGTAGTATATTTATTTAAATAGTTGTTTAGAATAGTATTAATATATTTTTGGAATGAGATAGGGCTATTTATTACTTTAAAAAATATTATTTAATATTTATAGAAGTTATAATAGGTTTTAAAAGTTATGAGATCTTTGGAATTAAGGTTTATTTGGATTCTATAGAATCTCTAATAGATATTAAATTTAATAAAATAATATATTTTATTTATTTATTATATAAGTTTATTAATTAGAGATAAAAGATAGATATCTTTTTTTATTAATTAGTTTAATTTTTAATAATTAATATAGAAATATAAGTTTTTATTAGATTTCTTTATTATTAAAATTAAAAACGCAAATAAAGTTGTATTTAAAATAATAAAGTCTTTATTAAAGTTTTTAGTAATATAGTTTTTTATAAATTATAATTGTTTTATAGATATCTTATATAAGGAATAATATTTTAGAATATATTTATTTATTAATTTTATTTTATAATCTATTTTCAGTCTAAATAAAGATAGTATATTAGATTTTTTTTTAAAGAATATATTTATAAAATTATAATATTCTTTTAAAATTATTGTTTATATTATTTATAATTCTAAATCTAATTCTAATTAACTATTAATTATATTTTGAATCTTGTTTATTATAGTTATAAAGGTTTAAATATCTTTCTTTTAGATAATTTATTAGAATCTTATTCTTCTGATTATAGTAATTATAAAATTATTAAAATTAATAATTAAGTTTATTTTTTAAGAATAAGAATATTTATTAAGAGTTTAAAAGATTCTTTTTAGTATTTATTCTATCTTAAATAATATATTTTTTTTATAGGAAGTATTATAGCTTTTATAATATTGCTATTAATTAAATTATAAATCTTTTTATTTATAATCTTTTTAATGTTTTTTTAATATAATAGGGTTTAATTGTTTTAAAATTTTAACTAGAATAAAATATATTAGTTATATAGCGATTTTCTTTTTTAAAAAATCAATCTTTATTCTTAATTTCTATAAAATCAATTATTCTAATTTTGATTATATATAATTAATTAGTATCTATTAATCTATTAACTATAATCTTTTTAGGATTATATTATATTATTTTATATTTACTATTAATATAAAAATCTTTTTTTATTAATAACTTATAATAATAAAAAAAATAGAAATTATATAGATAATTAATAATAATAATTGTCTATTAAAAATAGCTATTATAAGATATTATTTTAATCTCTTAGTTCTAAAGCTATAATATTTTAGTTTCTTTATTATTTAAAGATATATTATTAAATATATATTTATTTTGTTGTTTATTAATATTTTAATTTGGAAATATAAAGAATTAATTAAAATCTAAATATTAATAATAAAATTCTTATTAAATAATATTTTTATTAATTTATTTTTTATAATAATAAATAATAAATTATCCAAAAAAAAGATTTTTTCTAGATTTATTCTTTTTCTAAATTATTTCTTTTAAAAATAATAAAATAAGGATTAATTTTATAAATAAGAATAATAAAATTAATAATAATAATAATAATATAAAGGAACTTATTAAAATAATTTTAATTAAAATAGTTAAGGTTTTTATATTTAAAATATTTATTTTTATTTATTAATTTGTTATATTTAATAAAAATTATTAAATTAAAATAAAATATTCTAATTTAGAAAATAGAAATATTAATAAAAGATTTGTTTGTTTTTTTTTTAATTATATAAAAAAAACTTAATAGAATAATAGTTATAAAGATAATAGTAAAGATTATTATTAAAGTTTAACTATTAATAATTAATATTATTTATTTATTATATATTATAATAATTAAATAAGAATTCTATTAACAAATATTAACAAATTATTTAAAGATTATTAAATTATTATTACTTTAATTTATTATTATATTTTATAATAGCCTAAATAGTTTCTAAAATAAATAAAACTTTTAATCTTTTTTTAGAATATAAACTTCTATAGTAAACTATTTAAATTTAAAATAGAAATTGTTAAATTAATCTTTTAGTTTTATTTTATATATTGCAAAGTTACTTTTTATTTTAATCTATTTATTTAAATTAATAAATATATTTTCTATATATTTAATAATATTTTTAATATTAATATAAATATTAAAAATATTAGAATTCTATTAAACTCCTAAATATTTTTATATTTTGCTTTTGTATTAATTAATTATAAAAACTTTTTATTAAAAAAGAATATTATAGTAATCTATATTATTCTTTAAATATTAATAAATATTAAATATCTAGGTTTCAAATTAAATATCTTTATTATTAAAAAATATTAGGAAATTAGATATTTTAATAAACTTTTTAATACAAAAAACTTCTATAATTCATATATTTTAATTAGATTGAATTTAATTTATTAATTAAATTTAAATATAGAAAAATTTAAATCCTATTTTATTTTATTTATATTATATTATAGTATAACATTTATCTATCTCTTAACAAATTATTTCCAAAAAAACAATTTAGTTCTAAATTTTTTATAAAGAAATAAATTAGATTTTAGCTATATTTAATTAATTTTTAATTATATTTAATTAGTTTAATAAGAATATATTCTTATTTTTTAATCTTGTTTATATATTAATAAAGATTTCCAATCGATCTTTTATATTTATATTTTTAATTTAATTTATAAAATCTTTGATAATATTGTATCTCTTTATTATAGCATAGAATCTTAAAGTAATAATTATTGAAGTAAGAAGTACAAAGGGTCTAAAGGTAAGAGTACAATTATGCTCCTACACTATCTGCTTCTGCTCACACATAGCCTATCGTATCTAAGATTTTTCCATTATATTTGCCTATCTGTATAACAAAGGGTTTAGTCTAGTTCATTCAGTTTGATTAGTTCGTTCACTTCGGTTCGGGTTGTGGGTCCAGTCGGTGTCTAGACGCTAGCAGATGCTTATATCTGATTAGCTTTCGACTAGGAAATGATAGTAGAAAAGAGCTTTAGTCTAATGTGACGCGGCGGGCTTCTGAGGAAGGTCTATTCACTAAAGGAGACTAAAGCTAGAGAAAGAAGGGAGGAAGGGAACTACTGAGAGAATTTGGGAGGGTTGGGTTCCCGGGTTTGGGTGTGGATGCCTTACCCCCCAGGCACCCAACCCCCCGATTCTCACACTACTCGTACTACTCGTAGTTACGGAGTACGAGTAATGAACTACCGCTGTTCCACCACTACGGGTCTGTCTCACTTTTTTCATACTTGTATCCACATCGATCTACGATTAGTTGCCTTATTTGGGAAGGAGGCCTTTGTATGAAAAAAATAAAAAATAAAAAACACTAGAAAAGAAAAGAAAAGAGAAAGGACCAAGCGATCTCGGTGTACTTGTACTTGTGTTCCTCCCCGATATACTTTCTGGTTGTTCCCCCGAACTTATTAAATATGTCAAACACAACTTTTCCTTTTACTGTAACAGAACATATCATCGATGGACAGTATATCCGCGAATACCCTCGAGCAACCGTCTCACAATCAGCTTGTTTGAAGTTGGCCGTGAAGAAATATGTTCCTGTTGATTCAAATTCTCAGGGCGTGACTATCATTGCCGCGCCTGGTGGCGGCTTTCCTAAGGTAGGAGATATTCTCATCCAAGTTCATATCGTGGGGTTACTGACCAATTCCCAGGAGCTATATGAACCATTATGGGAAGATCTCCTAGTGCAATGTAGGAAACGCGGAATACAAGTTGGTTCTATCTGGACTGCAGATGCTTCGAATCTTGGGGCTAGCGGTGTAGTGAACGAGGAGCTACTCGGAAACGATCGTAAGGGTTCCTGCATCTTGATTTACGATTATGTCACTGACATGTCCAAGAATCTTGGCTAGATCACAGTCGGGATCTCCTATACATGGTCAATCAATTTCGCGATGAAATGCCGCAGCCCATCATTGGCGTGGGTCATAGTATGGGCGCGGGGCAAATGTAAGACTACAAACAGCAAGGAAGAAAGCGAACAACGACTGACCATTCTCTTTTTAGTACCCTCCTATCTGTCATGCACCCTCGCCTTTTCACCTCTTTGGTGTTAATAGAACCGGTGATTACGCCAAACACATTCGTTGGGTATGGACCGTTACTCTCAAAGATGTCACTCAAGCGTCGGGATATATGGCCATCCAAGTCTGTAGCCCTCAAAGCGGCACGAAGGTCACACAAAACATGGGACGATCGAGTTTTTGAGCGCTGGGCCCAACATGGATATCGCAGTCTCCCAACTGCTCTCTATCCGGATTCGAACAGCGGCACGGGTATCGACGATCCTGTCACACTGACTAGCACCAAGCACCAAGAAGTGATGCAGTATATTAGGCCAAACTTTGATGGTCACAAGCCTATTGGGCAAGAGGATTCTACTACGCCCGCTTATGACCCCCTGTTCCAACCCGATCTGATTGGCACACCCCTCAGAACATCGCCTTTCTACCGCAGTGAGCCTGTTCTCGCGTGGAAAATGATTGATCACGTTCGACCTTCTGTTCTTTATATTTATGGCGAGAGTAGTCCGATATCAAAGCCTGAGATTTGTGCCGAACTCCTTCAGCGAACCGGTGCAGGTATCGGAGGGAGTGGTGGCTCGATAAGGGGACAGGTAGAAGAGAAGTACATCAAGGGCTCTGGGCACCAGGTACCGCTTGAAAAGGTAGCCGAGACAGCATCGGCTATGAGAACCTGGATTGCATCTGCAGTACAGAGATGGCGCAAAGATGAGGTGCGAATCGCGAAGGACTGGGCAGATCTGCCCAGGAAGGACCAATTGAGCGTTTCAGCTGAATGGACGCCTCAATTGGAAATTGCTTGCAAGGTGTATGAACACAAGTCAAAACTCTGACTGTTGCAGATATCCCACATGGTCATTATGATAGAAATTAATCCAAAAATCACCGCAATCATATCATTTCATGGACTTCGGAGCTCATTGGGCAAGCGACCTTGGAAAGGAACAGACCGGAAAATAATTCATGTACTTAGCCTACTAGGTGAATAGAATTCGTAAAAAAGAGTATAGATATCCGTGGATATATATCCATCCATGGATAGATTCGAAGTTAGAGAAAGTTGCAACCTTTCCAAAAATATGCAGATATAGCCCTACTTAAGTAAAAGAAGTAGCGATTAACAACCTCAGAAGGTACTTATAGATACTTTACGGGCATATACACAAACATGCTTGACGGGGCGTACCTTACATGTACTTCAACTATACCGGAGAATAGGGGTTTTTTATGCCTGTGATCTCGCAGTCGTCCAACAGTTTTTGACCAAAAAACTGTCTCAACAGCTCATATCACAAATTGCCTCCAAGTCTAAAGGCTACAATCACACAGCTATATTAGAATGAAAACCGTTGTCGTGTCAAAACCGTTATAACAATACAGCTGTCTGGATGTAATGACCGTTTTGACATGACAACGGTTTTGACGTAACAACCGTTTTGACGTGACAATGGTTTTGACGTGACAATGGTTTTCATTCTAATATAGCTATATAATTGTAGCCTTTAGACTTGGAGGCAATTTGTGACATGAGCTGTTGAGACAGTTTTTTGGTCAAAAACTATTATTATGTCCAAATCGCTATAATATTTAAACAATTATTATATTTAGACTATCGTTATATTTAAACAATCTGTTATATTCAAATAATTATTATATCCAGATAATCTTTATATTCAAACTGTTGTTATATTAAAATTATTATTATATTTAGACAATTATTATATTTAAATAGTTAGTATATCTAGATTATTATTATATTAAAACAATTATTATATTCAGATAGTTTTAAAACTATTACTATATCGAGATAGTTAATATTTAAATATTATTAGATTACAAATCTTTAAATATTCTAGTATCTAGATCTAGATATTCTAATGTCTAGATCCAGATATTCTAGTGTCTAGATCCAGATATTCCAGCATCTAGATCCAGATATTCCAGTATCTAGATCCAGATATTCTAGCGTCTAGATCCAGATATTCCAGCGTTTAGATCTAGATATTCCAGCGTCTAGATTCAGATATTCTAGTGTCCAGATCTAGATATTCTAGTGTCTAGATCCAAGTATTCTGGCATCTAGATCTAGGTATTCAAATGTCCAGATCTAGATATTTGAGTATCTAGATCTAGGTATTTCAATATCTAAATATTATATTATTATTTGGATATAGATTAGTCAAGGGTTTTTAAAAAGTTAAAGATATATTAGTATAAAATAGATTATTTTTTTAAAAAATAGGCTTCTATTTATATTATATATAAACTAAAAAAATTAATTAATAAAAATATTGAATCCAAAAATTAATAAAATAAAAAAGATAATATATAAATATTATATTTATAAATATTATTTAATAAAAATATAATTTTAAATAGAAAATTAATCTAAAGATAATATAATCAGTATAGATTAATATAGATAGCCTAAAGAAGAGTCAGTATAGTTAATATTAATATATCTAGTATAGATCTATAAAACAAAAATTAATATAGTTTATATCAATATATTTAATATAAATCTTTAAAACAAAAATTAGTATAATTTATATAAATAATCTAAAAGAGAGCTAGTATGATTTATATAGATAACCTAAAAAAGAGCTAGTATAATTTATATAGATAGCCTGAAAAAGAGCTAATATAGATTGACATCAGTATATTCAATATAGATTTATAGAGCAAAAGTTAATATAGTTTATATTAATGTGTCTAATATGGATCTATAGAACAAAAATTAATATGATTTATATAGACAATCTAAAGAAGAGCTAGCATAATTTATATAAACAATCTAAAAGAGAGCTAATATAGATTAGCGCCAGTATATCTAATATAGATTTATAGAATAAGAGTTAATATAATTTGTATAAATAGTTTAAAAAAGAGCTAGTATAATTTATATAGATAATTTGAAAGAGAGTTAGTATAGATTAGTATTAGTATATTTAATATAGATCTATAAAACAAGAGTTAGTATAATTTATATAAATAATTTAAAAAAGAGTTAATATGATTTATATAAATAATCTAAATTAATATATTTATTATTATTAATTATATTAAAAATGTTAACTATAGTAATAGATATCTAGAATATTAATTATATTTATATATTATTAATTATAATTAAAAGAATATAGTTAAGACAAGATTTATTGAAGTTGATATATATATCTATTATTATTAGTTGTATTAAGGATGTCTATGTTAGTTAGTAGATAGGAAAGAGTATAATTAAAATAAGACTTACTAAAGTTAATATATATATCTATTGTTATTAATTATATTAAAAATATTTATATTAATTAATAGATAAAAAAGAATATAGTTAAAACAGAATTTGCTAAAATTCTAAATATATATATTTGTTATTGTTAGCTGTATTGAAGATATTTATATTAGTCAGTAAATAGGAAAAAATATAGTTAAAACAGGATTTGTTAAAATTTTAAATATATATATTTGTTATTATTAGTTATATTAAGAGTATCTATATTAGTTAGTAGATAAAAAAAAGTATAGCTAAAACAAAACTTATTAAAGTGCTAAATGTGTATATGTGCTATCATTGGTTGCATTAAAGTTATTAATTATAGTTAATAAAAGATTATTTTAATTAGTAAATAAAATTTTAGAAAAGACTATAATCAAAATATTTACTTATTAAAATTAATATATATTTAATTTAGAAATATATCTGTTGTTTTGAAGTTGTTGATTATATTTAATTTTAAAAATATTTAAATATTTAAATATTTAGTTACTTAAATATTTATAAATACTTAAATATATAATTAACTTAGAAATCTTAAATTTTAGAAATCAAAATTAAAGATATCTAATTATTTAAATACTTAAATAATTATATTAGTAAGAATTTTTGAAATTCTAAAATAACTTTAAAAAAAATAATATTATTAATTAGAATATTTAAATATATAAATTAAACTTTCTAAAAAAAGCTTAGAAAAACTTTAGAATAAATAATTATTATTGTTAATTCTATCAAAATAATATAGGATATCTAAATTAAAAAATATTTGTAGATTTAGAAAGTTACTATATACTATATATAATAGATCTAAATTTAATCTTCTAAATCATAGCTCTCTTTATAAATAAAAACTATATATTTTATATTCCTATTTAATTTAGATAGTTTCAAAATAATATAATTATTATTTTGACTAACAAATTAAAAAAATAAAAGATCTAGATCTTTATTTTTATTATATAGTTTAATAAAAAAAAGATAGATAAAAAACTAAAGCTTTATTTTAAATAATATATATATAAAAAATTTAAAAATCTTTTTAATTTAATAGATTTCTAAAGATTAAAAATTAAAAAATTTAATAAAATTTTTAATATAAAAAAAAAAAGTTGTTTTGTTTATTTTATATCGAAAAATAATTGATTTATATTAATATAATAGCTTATTAAATTTTAAATTTTTATATTTACTATGATTATTAATATATACCTTTTATAAAAAACAAACAAAAAAATAATATAGATTTAAAATAAATAAACAAAATAAAAGTTCAAATAATTATTCTTTTATAAATTTTTAGATTATAATATTATAATAATTTAGAATATTAAGATTATTGCTAAGAATATTTGGAATTGATAGTATTCCTAATAATTTTCTAAAAATAATTAAATAGTTTGTAGTCAAAGTTTTAAATTAGTTATTAGTTCTATATATATTTTTAATATATAATTATATTATAAATTAAAAATCTTTTTTAAATAATAAGCTTTTAATAATATTATATTAATTAGAATTTGTAATTTATTTCTTAAAAAATCTTTGTAAATTATATTATTAGAAAGGATTTATAAAAAAATATTTTAAATTAATATATTTATACTTCGCTTTAATAATAAATATATTTGAATTCTAAAGAATAGTATAATATATTATTTCTTATTTATAATATATTCTAATATATATATTGAGTTATTGTATAGCTTTTGTTTAATATTTTGTTGTTTTTATATAATTTGTTAAATTAGGATTTATTTCTTTATTTTTATTATTGTAAATAACAAAATTAGAAATATTAATATAATTTTTTTTATCAATTATAAAATAATTATAAACCTAAATATTATTTTCTATATTAATATTAGAATTATTTTATAAATATAAAATTAATCAATTGTTTAAATTTATTTTAGTTTAAATAATTTTAGTTTGAGTAGTTTAGATAGTTTAGATTACTTTAGATTGGATAAAGTTGATTTAAATGATATTAGTTTAGGGAATATTAGTTTGGAAAATATCGCTTTGGGGAATACTAATCTAAAAATTGATCTAACTTTCTATTGAAGATTATCACTTCTTCTTTTTTAAAGATATTTGTTTTTGAAAAAGTTTTTTTATTTTAATTATATGTGAAAAAAGATTTTAAAGATGTAATTATATTTTGATAATTGTTTTCTTCATTAAATCTTAATCTTTAATATTTATAGTTAATTATATATATAAAGAATTACTATAAGCAATTATAGTATATACTTTAATAATTATTCTAATAGATAATATAATATTAATATATAGTATTATATTATATAACTACAGTTAGATTATTTTCTTAATTAGATATTAATTAAAGATCACAACAAAAATAATATTTGTTTTATTATATTTCGCAATCTAATAACTCTTTAAATATATAGTCAGAAATTATAATTGTTATTAATCTTATAGAAAATTAAAAGTCTAGAGTATTTTAATAAATATTCTATATCTACTAGATTTCTTCTTTTTAAAAAGTTTATTAAAAAGAATCTTTTAAAAAAGAAATAAATATACAAGTTT